TTATATAGGGTGACAAAAGAAGTGACTGAGCAAAATATCGAAAAATATTTAGAGAACCAGATCAGTCATAAGAAAAAACTTTCAATCCACATTTCATTTTCGAAAATCAACTCCATTCTGACTCAAAATTCTGGTCCGAAGGGATGTGATATAAAAGATATGATTTCAAATATTATTATGGCAGAAATCAAATTGGAGACTTATTTGGTAATCATGCGAACTCACTGATTCTTTTTTAGTGTGCAAAACAAGCATTCATCCAACACAAACGTAGTGAAACTCAATGAAATCCATATTTTGCATTTCAATATCCAGGGAATTTCAAAAATATTTAAGAACTTGAAATTTTGCTGAAAAATAACAATTTACATATTATTCAAATTATTATGAGATAAAATGTTCAAACTCACATAATTATATATTAATTAACAGTTATTGTCGTTCTGTATATGGAAATTTACCATCTACGAATGGAATTTAAAAGAACATTATTGAAAAATATGCCAAAGAGAGTATTGCTGTAACAAAGTTAGGGACATAAAATAGAGATATCATGTTCGATTCATTTTGTAGAAATGCATGACTACATAGTTTAAAAAAAGTCGCTTCCCGCTGTCTTGTCTCTATATGTATGCTTAGATCTTTGAAACTATGTAACGGACTTTGATGCAGGATTGATGACATGTAAAATATAGCAAAGGATGTCGCAAATAAACTATTTTTTTTGCGTTTACATTGCAAACGCTGGCTGAACCATCCGAGATAGATCATAAAATGTACAGTATTGTACACCTTGAAAAGGTCCACAGAAAAGTCCGCGATGGCATATGTCTATCTCTTAGGGATACCCGACAATAACTATTTTTTATCCTCGAGAATGGCTTATTTACGAAACGATCTTAAGCAATACAGCGTCATGTAATTTAAATGTATATTTTCGAAGATATTACAGATTTTAAATGCAGGGACACTACAGCACTTTATCATCAGAAGTGATCACGCGTGTTTATACAGGACGTTATAACGAAAATTTGCCCCCCCCCCACCCTGTAAATCAGAAATGGACATGCAATCAAAAATTTCAAAGAACACGACAATTTTTATTTCTAGGGGGACTAATTCTGATGCGAAAATCATTCTCGAAACTTCACCCCTCTGAGGTCAGCAACTGCTCCCCCTATTTTTTTCAATGGCATGGGGGTTGAGTGAGACATCATTTGGAAGGTCTTTTGTCCCTCTATTACTTCTGTATTTTTTTTAAATTGGTCCATTCGTTATTGAGAAATTAAATGTTGAACGTTTTATTTGAGAGAAAACAGAAAATTTGCTGTCGCTCATTTTATTGAGGAAATCAACAAAAGTAATATCAATGGCAACACAATCAACAGATTAAGTGTCCAAAATGACCTCTATCTAGTTGCATACAATAATACAGTCTACTTTCGAAAGCGTTCTTTACATTATTGAAGATGTCCGGAGTCAGAAATCGGCATTCCCGAACAATTCTCTGTCGCAGGTCTTCTAGATTTATAGAATTTATTTAATTAGTGGTGAACGTTTTGAAATGAATGACACTGTTAGTTTTTTCTGCACTGGTAGTTTTAGTTGAATCTAGTTGTCGCAGAACAGAAAGTATATAGTTGGTCACTGTCACTTCTTCACGAATTATTCAATCATTCTTGTTCACTGTGTTCCAACATGGTTTATTCTAATGAAGAAAGAATAGAAATGTTTGCCTATTATCGAAATAAGAATTTATAATACGAATCATTCAGACTACATGAAAACATAAGTATTCCGTCCTGTTAGAAATGACGTTGTTGAAGTTGCAGTTTTAGGACGTGTACAAATCGATAATCGAAAATCTATCAGACAAGTAGCTAGAGCATCTGATGTATCAGCTATTAGTGTTTTTTGAATTTTGAAAGCCTACAAATTCCATCCTTTCGAAATAATTGAATAGAACTGGCCGATACTTGATGAAAATCTATATTGAAACTAATTGATACAGTTTATTGTATGATTTTCACTATTATTAGTATCTTAATAATCATATTTCATACTCAACCTGGTGGAATATGAATCAGAAGTTTTGTTTTAAATTCAACACTTCCTTCATTTTTTGTTTTTTTTTCTGTAAAAAATCAAATATAAACTAGCTTGCCGTTCATAAAGATTTCATCATATATAGCACGATTTTTTTGCACAATGATTTTGCCGTAATATATAAACTTCAGTTTCATATAATTAGTCGTCAAAAATATTATATTCAAAAATATCTCCTATGAATTCATACTGTACCATATTCTTTGTTTAAGGTTTCCTCTGCAGACCAACCAGTATCTGAGAGGGGTTTTTTAGGATTCCTGCTAGGCCCTTGTAGATGTAGTGAGTATATAATGACAATTATAATAAAAAAATTTGGGAAGTTCTGAAGGGGAGAAGATTTGTGAAGATATTCTAGCATCAATTTTGGAAAGTAGCTAATGACACCCTACTGATTCTTTTAATGTGAAGTACAAATGCCTCTTACGCCTAATGATTCGGGGTTTATTGAGGTGGAGAGAGAAAAAATAATGCTTTGCTGTCCAAGAAAGCATATCTTTACTGACACCTGGGAAATATTATTGAATATTACCTTAATATTACCAATATTAACTTACAATGTAACATTAGGGTAAAAATAAAAACAAACTGTTAAAAGTACACGTACATCAATTGAAAATCTACAGATTCCCACTGAAAAGCATGTAAAGGTACCAAACAAAAATACAAACTCCTTTTCCAAAACTGACTAATTGAGTATCTATTAATAGCAATGTTATCGTGTTGATCTCGAAGATACTTTTCCATACGTTTTTCTGGTCCGTTTGCTGGATGAGGCAAAAATCGAAGGAAAGGCATCGCCTAAAATTAGAAATGAAAGCAAACAATAAAGTAAAGAACATATGGAAATAACTCACCAAAATTAGGTTCAAAAATGAAATGGNAAGTGTACTCTACTAAGCCTACAAATCTAGAAGACCTGCGACAGAGAATTGTTCGGGAATGCCGATTGCTGACTCCGGACATCTTGAATAGTGTACGGAACGCTTTCGAGAGTAGACTGTATTACTGTATGATACTAGGTGAAGGTCATTTTGAACAATTCATCCGTTGATTTTGTTTCCACTGATATTATTTGTTGTTCAAATCCTCATTGAAATGGACGACAGCGAATTTTCTGTTTTTTCTTAAACAAAACTTTCAACATTTAATTTCTTAATAACGAATGAACCAATTTCGAAAAAAAATCACAGAGGTAATAGAAGGACAAAATACCTAACAAATAATGTATCACTCGACCCCCCATGCCATTGAAAAAATAGGGGGGTAGTTGCTGACCGCAGCGGGGTGAAGTTTCGGGTATGATTTCCATATCAGATTTAGTTTTCCTAGAAATAAAAATTGACGTGTTCTTTGGAATCTTCGATTACAAGTCCGTTTCTGACTTACAGAAGGGGTCAAGTTTTCGTTGGAACGCCCTGTATATGTGTTAGAACGCCCTGTATATGTATACTCAGTATCAGCATTGCATCCGTGTGGAGCCGGGGCGGGTCGCTAGTATTGAATATAGGATAAAGAAATTACCTTTTGTCTGATTTCTACTTAGTGTTTTTATTTGTTATTACCGGTTAAACCGGTGATTTGTTAAACCATTTTCAGGTTTCTTGAAAATTGTTTAACAAACCGAAACCAGTCGTAACAAATAAAAACTCAGTAAAAATCAGTTTTCTTTATCCTATATTCAAATAAAGATATCATAAGTTTGGTTAATAGGACACCTGATTGTTCATTTTCTCTTTCTATACAGGAGATGTATGATCTGATAAATAACATTAATAATGTGAATTTGGCACTAAAAAATATTACAGAATTTCTGAACGTATATCAAAATATTCCAGAATTGCAAATAAAATGTAATTCATAGCTATGTCGAGGGCCTAACAGAAGTTTCAGAGATCTTAGAGGCTTAGTGGCTGTATTGATTCGAATCTGAATCTGAATAATCAGTCATCAATTAAATGCAATATAATGCAGTTGTGCAGATGCGATCAGGGCTTGGATTCTCATTAAAATTATTTGAATAGATAAATAGCAAATCAGTGAATCAGTAGGAAATATCCGAATATTTCCAACGTTACAAATGAGTGATTATAAATAAAAACTGAAAGAAAAAGTGACATAACAAGATAATCGTCGGATCCCGTATATGTAAATACAACTGGAAAATCTGCGAATTACATTAAAGTTGATGTAGGCCAAACCAGCATCATTTGCGAGTTACCGTTATTTTTACTGGATTTTTATCAACTCTTTTGGTGAGAGTATTCACATTTGCACTCAGTTAATTCTTAATCGTCATGAGTATCACACACTGGGTGTATATTTTACTTATATACGGAGTGCATGTTTCAGGCAACGATTCGGTAAGTAACAATCAATCTTTATTGAATATAAATACAGCATGGGTTGATGGTAGGTTAAACGTTTATGGTGAACGTAACGCAGGATTTTTCTGAAAATTTCACATCTTACATTTCCTTACCTGTTCTATCGATCTAAAATATTTTTAACATTGCTGCGTTGCCACTTCCATCAAAAAGTCCTAGCAACTTTATTTTTTTAAATGGAACACCCCGTATATTAATGAATTTTTGTAATCGCTCTGGTATTTTAATACTTTTTTGTTAATAATGTCCTATACCTATCTCTATCTGTTTTCGAGATGAAAAATAAATTGTGGTAAATATGGTCCAAAACATAGCCTAATCGATTTCAAGAACGTCAGTAATAGTAATAGTAATAGTAATAAATTACTATTATTTCCATCATGCATGAAAGTGATCAAAAGTTCATTTTTTCAATGAAACCCCCTGTATATTACTCGATAAATTGAAAGATGATGGAAAATACTCCAAGATGATATATCATGTCCCTATAACTAAATCATATTTTTTTTTAATAAAGTCACTTTTCCTGGAAACATATTTTTTTTTAATAATTTGGTTTCAGGTAGCAGTGTAATTATCAGGCTTATAACAGTTTGGTTACTTTTATAAGTAATTTACAAAGAGTTATCGACGGTTTTTCAAATAATCTCCCAAAATGAATGCAAATATCGATTATTCAAACAAAGTTCTCATGAAATTATTTATTAAACATGAACAAAGTGATCAAATCATTATCAGAACTTGCAGAAAATTCAACCAAATGTATCCTGAATCGACACCAATGAACGATAGGAAGTTTGTAAGGTTACAAAATAATTTACTCAACTATGGCTTGAAGTTACCAGGAAACAACTGTAGCGACTTTTGGTTGCTTTTTGAATTTCATGGAGATCCAGATCTTCAATCCACCGCACTATTCGCCGTCGCAGTTCTTCTTTGGTAGGCACTGGAGTACTGTACACCCTTTCTTTTAAAACACCCCAATTGGCGTGAGATTGGGTGATCTCGGTGGCCAATGCCATGGCCCTAAACGACTAAACCAACGATCGTCAGACATTTCGTAAATCCTCTCGTTCAGGATACTTTTGATGTGTTAATATACGGGATGTTCTATGTGAAAGAATAAAAATGTATGGAACTTTTTGATAGAAGGAGAAACGTCGAAATACTGAAAATATTTTAGATCGATAGAACAGGTAAGGGAATATAAGGAGTGAAATTTTCAGAAAAATCCTGCGTTTTGTTTTCCAGAAACGTCTAACCTACCACTGACCGTGAGTCACGCTGCATATCTTGGTCCTATTTTAACATTTGTCACTGAAACCAGCTGAGCATGTTTACAGAACGCTTCTCTCATTATTCCATTGAAAGATTTGAAGTCACTCCTGAGAAAATTCACCTTCGAAACTAATCTGAAATAATAGGGATTTCAGACAACCTAAAATATAATAAATGGCAAGGAATTATATGATGATATAACGGAAAATTATCGAAGTCAATCACAATCACATTTCTCAATAGTTAAGAGAAACTCGAACTGTGGATACTGTGTTTTATTCAAATTGGAAAAGAGATACTTCAAGGACGAATAAGTTTTTGGAAAAAAGCTTTTCAACTTTTCTCTCCTCCCTCTCAATAAAAAAAAATATGGGAAAGAAAGAGAGTGATCGTGTTCAATATGGAAAAAAATCCATCCGAAACAATTTTACTTTCGAAACATACAAACATTAATTGCACAGAAATCACATTTTTGTATTCAGTTTGTACTCCAAGCATTCGTTGAAAAATCAAAGAAGATCGTTCGCCAACCAACGTAATACAAAGTGTTAGTCAAGAGTAACAAGACGGTTCAGGAAAGCTAGACGAAATATATTTATAATGCTTTTTCATGACACGAATATGCATGTCACATATAGCAATGTTTCAAAATTATGAAAAAATAAAGTTACGTTTATTTTAAATGGTTTATATCCATTTTCATTCAATTTATTATTCATACGATAAACGCTGAGAGAATTTTCATCAAAGATTTTTATACCTAGATGCAGTCGGTTCTCAGATACTATAAAATTTCTGGAAAATGAGTCGCTTTGAAAGAACCCCATTTCACATATAATTAATCAATCGTAAAAAATTTTGTTCAAAAAACACTTCTCCAAATACAGCTTATCAAATGTAAGAAAAGCTTTCTGAATTACGTTATAGACGTTATTGAAAGCGAGCGAGAAAGAGAAAGAGAGAAGTCTCAAGTCTCTTCCGAGATTCAACAAGCTGTATATTCCTATATTCAATTCGAATGATCCCTTTTCAGGTTATTCACAGATAACTTGTCAATTATGATCAGCTTCAAACACCAATATATCTGTTTTTCAGGACACCCCTCATATTATGACTCCATGATGAAGCTTTTTCTCATTTTCTTTCGAATGATGTATGTTGCTTCTATACCTAAGAGTGGGAATTTTCAAGTAAATAAGGATTTCAGTTCAGTTGTTGAATTTGCTTATTATGTAAATTGTCAAAGCAGTGGTCGTTTTTCTGTGGATATAATCTAACTTTAATTACATGTGGTTCGTCATGCTGGTTCGTTTGAATAATTGATTGTTAGCAATGAGGCTGTATGCTCAGAAATGTTCGATCCATTGTCGTTGAGATGTCACGAATCTAGTTCAGTTATTTGCTTGAAACAAAATGGAAAACACGAAGTACCTAGATATAAAGATAATAAATACATAGTTTTGGAAACTGTGGTAGAGAATCCAAACGTTAGCTTCAAACAAATTTCGAGAAATACTGGCAAATGCCAGTCTAGCGTCAACAGAATGATGCGAAAACACAAATATCATTTCTTTGGTACAGAAGTTCATCAGCGTTGAATTGAATTTTGTTTATGGGCAAGTGAACAAGCAAGAGAAGTGGATGATTTTTTGAATCTACATTTCATTATTTGTGTAATCGATGACTTGATGACTTTAATGAAATGAAAGAATAAAAACTAACTAATACATTTGAAATCTAAAAACGTGGTTTTGTAGGGAGTTTGTAGGTAAGCTGGATGAGGAGGTTTATAGTAGCCTCAATTTCAAACAAATTTCGAGAAATACTGGCAAATGCCAGCCTAGCGTCAACAGAATAATGCGAAAACACAAATATCATTTCTCTGGTACAGAGGTTCATCAGTGTTGAATTGAATTTTGTTCATGGGCAAGTGAACAATTCAATGATTTCAAAGTTACGTTTATTTTAAATGGCTTATATCCATTTTCATTCAATTTATTATCCATACGATAAACGCTGAGAGAATTTTCATCAAAGATTTTTATACCTAGATGCAATTATCATTGATAATTGAATAAAACTCGAAACCGGTCGTAAAAATAAAATAACTAGTGGAAATTAGACAAAAGGGTTTTCTGATTGATTCGGCCGTTACTTCATCCATAGCAATTCCACAAACTACACCTAAGGATTTGAACCTCACAAATTTCATTTTCAAAAAATATATCAGGACATGTTCCCGATCACTTTTTCATACGAAAAAGCCACTGTGAAAAAGTGTTTTCATTCATTTCATTAAAGACATTTCATAATAATAGACTCATGACTAGACACAACTTCCATTTACATGACACACAAACTAGGCACATTTTATCAAACCTTTTTTTCTTAAGGACAAAACACAAGCACTACAGAAAATTCCTTGAAGCAAAAGTAGCGATTCACGTTGGATTTGAATCGCTGGAGAAGGAAGTTTATTCCACATAAACGCAGTTCTCCTAATGACAGAGTTGCAGTGAAGTTAGAGGTGTACTGAGTTAAATCTCAAAACAATTAGCAGACACAGAACGTCCCGTATTTCTGATATTACCACTCTTGCTGGAATCAAATGTGCCAAGTCACTTGAACACCTCCCGTAGAAGTATCTATAAAGAGACAAATCTCCAACCTTTCTTCGATATTCCAGACTATCAAGGTTGCACCTTGATAGCTTCAGGGTAGGCTTAGGAGCAGAGCTCCATACATGAATACAATACTCCAAAAAAGGTCTGATCTCAGCTTCAAAAAGCATCAAAAGTTGTTGAGATGTGTACAGTTTTCTAGTTCAAAACAGTGTTCCAAGCTTCCACACCAATTCGAAATCACCTCTTGTTCCTCATCTAGATATGCAACCTCCTGATGCCGGTGGATCCGCAGCCGATAAATCCAAATGGAATGACGAAACAAGTGTGCTGTCGTCAGCAAAGGAATATATTGGATTCTTGGTTTTTTCCAAAAAGTCGTTGATATACAATGAATAGAGGGTTGGAGACAATATGAAAACACCAGCGTCGAGAGATATCCATCGACGGCCACTTGCAGGGAATGTTCTTCCAGGAAGCTGGAGAGTCATACACAAACATAATCCAACAATACATAGCACCGAAGTTTGGCTAGTCAACTCTAGTGCCACACATGGTCAAAGGCCTTAGAAATATTGAGCGCAACATCTCTTGACTCTCCATGTTTCCCGATTGCGTTATTCCAAATATGGGTAACACGATGTAAGGTCGCCTGTTGATCTTTGTTTCCGAAAGCCATATTATTGATGACCGCACAAGACGATAAAGCTTTTCAAACATGGAAAGCTTTATCGTGGTTTACGGCTTTCTCCATGATTTTTGATAAGCACTAAAAGCGACTGGTCTGTTGTTATTTGGAAGAGTTTTGGAAGATTGACCATCAAAGCCGATGGTGCATTAATGTCTACGATGGATATCATATAATTGGAACTTTTTTCGAAAATATTCTAAAGGGAACAGAATTTTCACGGTATTTGAAATATGACTTTCGAGAAATCCTTCAACAACATGTTCCTTCCAATAAAAGACAGATAATGTAGCGCTCCTGCTCATTTCCAAGTGACCTTCACACACGTGTTCCAAAGGTTTTTGATTCTGATGTTGAAATTCTTCAAATGTGCTACGTTCAAATAAAGGTACGAATCATATTGGAATTTCAAATAACCTTTTCCACTTTCTATTGAAGTTGTTTTATTCTAGTTCAGGTTCTGATTTCTGTAATTATTATACGATGGATGTTTTGAATTTTATGATGCCTTAGTGAATACAGTTTCGAAGAAAGTTACTTGACTGTTTATCAACTGAATCTCCGTATTGCTCTCTAAGGCAGGAAAACTTGTATGCAGTGAAGACCACCTCATCAATATGGTGCTGAAGGTGTTTTCCAAGTTTTAACGGTAGTTAGAAAGTGGTAATACCTTATGACGAACGACGCAATGAATTCAAATAAAGCACATCCATCTAAAATTTGAAGATGATAGAAATGTCTTTTGTAGTGGACTTTATGGATGAAAAAAAAATTGTTATTGAGATGAGATTTGTGATTAAGGTGATAGATATACTCGATTAGAAATTCAAATTATTACACAAATGGTACCTGACAAATCTATCCTAAATAAAATCGAACTTAACAAAAATCATAATAATTTCACTATATGAAAAAGCATTAATGAAAATGTTCATGATTATTATATAAGAGATTAATAACCTATGAACAATAAATAATAAATTTCATTGAGAAAATTAGGAAATTATTTCATTCTCAACTTGCAGAACTTCATTTTGCGATTAAGAANTCTTTTCATTATGATCTCCTACCACGTAGTAACGGCTACATCCATCAATTTACTCTACATATAGAATTACATATAGAATTCTACATATAGAAAAGAGGTTACGAAAAGTCCCACCAATGTAACACAAATTACAGAATGTGCATGGAATACTGTATATCACATTATATTTTTGTTCAGTTGTGAGAGGAGTTTTAAGTTTTTGAATAAAAGTGAAAATGTTAAGTTAGGAATATATTGAATTGAGAAATGTCGAATAAATTCATTATGCTCTTCCATCCCTGGTTGGATAGAAGAACAATATCTGCCTTGAATAACATGCGCAGACGTTGAATTCTGCCATTTGTTAGGTTAGATTAGTATCTCTTTTACTGGGTAACCTTTCAATAAAAGCATTATTTATTATTATTACTTCTCTTATCCCCCGAAGCCCCGATACATTCGGGAGGGCGCGCCAGCATTATCAACCAATGACCACTTCCCACACCGTGAGGTAAGTGATCATTGGGTTTAAGAATCATATGCCCTGAGCGGGAGCATCATTCCACCAAGGACTCCAATAATCAGAACAACCATCGTGATAGAGTGGTCTGGATAGAGTCTGCGGAGTTCGAAGAGAAAATCTCGATATTTTATCCGTTTTTTCTCCTCTTTTCGGACAATATTCGTCTCGCCAGGAGCTGAAAACTCCATGACAAATATCGTCTTGCTCTGGTGGCCGAGAAGGACTACATCAGCTTGTATGAGCCTGAGGGTGAGGACCGAATAGTTCCAAAAAATTCGGCACTTCTCATTCCCCACAATGGATTTAATATCCCCCGGAGCGTAGGACAACACCGGTGTCTCGTCAATACCGTAAGAGTGCCGTAGATGGTGATATAGCACTCTTAGGGCCGCGTTATGTCGATGGATATAGGCCGAGACCGCATATGCTGGACATGCTGATAGCAAGTGCATTAGAGTCTCGGGCGCCTCGCGGCAGGCGTGAACACATAGTGTAACAATATTTTTTCATTAGCGAGAGAGAAAGAGAGAAAGACAGTTTACTTTCATTCACTGACTCATTTCAGCGTTAAAAACAGTTTTTCAGGGCTAATTACACGATTTCCAAAAATAACAGGTTCCAGATTTCTTCTTATGTTCTCTAAAATATAATCAAATGTGTAAACTCATTATTGTATAGTTGAAAATTTCTTTTTGAAAGCCACCTTAGCTCGTCAAAAGGGTAGAAAAATCGCAAAAATTACTTCTTCCATCATTTACTGAATGAACACCATATATAGGTAATAATAACTCTGTTCTCATTAGTAGACTTAGCTCCAATAGTTTGACGTGTTACTATGACGATATAGTGAGGGAAGCCAAACATACTTATGCGTTACGTTACGTTAGAAAGCGGTTTACCCTCCCATTTGAAGTTATCACTTCAAAACTGAAAGGATTAGAATGAAATACATTGGTAATCCTACTAATCCTACTCCTACTAATATCATGAAGGCGTAAAGTTTGTGAGGATGGATGCATATAATGTATGTATTTACGTTTGTAACCTACTTTTTCAAGCCTAAACAGCTCAACAGTTTCAAATGTAAGTTGGTATATAGATAGATCATGACCTGGAATAACACATAGAGTTGGTTCCCACGGTAACACGGGTAAAATAGCGAGGAACAACTGGTATTGTATAAGTGGGTACCTATTGATTGACTGACACACAAAATTTATAATTATTACATTATAACGTCTTAATGAAAATCAAAATAATTACTCTCAAATCACCTTAATCGAATCTACGACTGATAACTGAAATTTCTTTTTTGTATACATTTTTAAACATTTATACAAATCAGCGCACAGTTGTAGAAAAAATAGTTGCAGCATGTCTTCATAAGAGAAGAGAGGAGCTCGTATCCGTAACACCGACAAAAATAATTCAGAAAAAATGCCCTACCTCCACCCTAAAAGATGAATAGGCACAATACTATTCTTGTTTGAATTACAGACGCTGAATTTTTCAATTCCCTAAATATTCCATCAACAAAATTATGCCTTTTTCCTTTCCATGCAGGATGTGGTATTCCCAACAGAGAGGCACGTCTAGTGGGCGGTGAATATTTAAGAGGACATGAATTTCCTTGGGCGTCTCTGGTGCAGCTACCGGGAAACCTGTCTTTTCCTGCTACACTTATCAATGACAAGCATTTACTAACCTCTGCAAATACTGTCATAGGGTGAGTCAATTTGAAGAATATTCTTGATATTAGATCATCGAATTAGTTTCAATTCTTTGTGTCAGTTTTCATAGACATCAAAATACTGGGTGTCAAGCTGGAAACTTTCAATCATTAATATCTTCAGGAAATGTGAAAGAATTAGAAAGACACGTTAACTTTTTTCAAACGGGGAGAGTTCGGAGGATCTTTTTAGCTGCTGTGGTTAAACCCAAAATAAATAAATCAGGATAACATTATCCTGATGCTTTCATTTTTGATAACACTTGCCGAAAATGTATTCGAAAGTTACAGAACCTCATCACAACTAGCCTGCACCAGAGTTGATCTTTCTCAAATTATTATAGTGAGTGTTTTTTTTATAAATGGTTAGAAAGGCAATATTACCTCCAGATAGTTCATAAAATGGTAAGTGTATCTGTTTCATTTTTGTGATTTCTTCATCGAAAATTGAAGGTTTTTGAAGAAGAAATCGTATAACTTTTTTTCTGTTACCCGAAGGTTGCAAAAGTGTCTTATCTCACCTAACCAATTTCATCAAAAGGGGTTCATAATAATAATTTTTGTTTGAACAATAATCTAAAAGCAGATACTCTTCTGGAAGTATTTTCAGCAGCTCAGTATTTTTTTCGAAAAGTTATTAACAATGTGTTATCGACAAAAATCATATATTTTATGAGTTTATAGGTATTTTCTTCTTTTCATCAGTAATTTTTCCCTACATTTTGGAGCTTTACTGGCACAATGTTTTCTGAAGGTCGTATAAAATGAACTCATCATTAGTGGTTTCTTTTGTGGTTTCAATAACTCAACTTGCTTTTCATCCGATACGTATCACATCAGAGCAGATAAATTTTAATTATGTGTGAAATTTTCCAATGCGATTTTACGGAACATCATGGTTCAAAAAAGGTATCAAATAGAATAAAGGGGTTCATAATAATAATTTTTGTTTGAACAATAATCTAAAAACAGATACTCTTCTGGAAGTATTTTCAGCAGCTCAGTATTTTTTTCGAAAAGTTATTAACAATGTGTTATCGACAAAAATCATATGTTTTATGAGTTTATAAGTATTTTCTTCTTTCCATCAGTATCAAATAGAATGACATTGAAAAACTTGAGGCTACTCAAATGTTTTCAAATCAGTTCAAATCAAATTGTCTATGAGAGAATAACTTACCAATCAACAACTAAAGCGTGTCAATACAAAAATTTTATTTTAAACAAGGTAAATAGGGTGTCAGTCTAAAAAGGATGCACCCTCAAAATTTCAGCTTATTAAAAAATGATTATATTTTAAGTGAGTTTTCACTTCATCTATATTACCCCTCTAACAGAGAGGATACCAAGCATCAAATAGGTCGAAAGGTCAGTCTTTACATTTATGCCAAATGAGGTCGAGTGATGCCTCATTTTGAGGTTCAATCTTGATCATTGTTTTAGGTCATTAAATCATTTTGTGTACAGAACAAGACCACGAAATTCAGTATAATTGAGAATGAGACTTGCTGCTTATATTATCGATAGCTATAATTATTAAACAGAATGGCCTAGTAAAGAGTAAGTATATTTGAAGTGGTTATCGAACGACCATTAAAATGAGATATCACTCGACCTTCCTTTCTATTTAAGACTTGAGAGTTCAAATCCACACCGTCAGAGGGATGATGCAAATGAATCGAAAACTCTCTTGAGATATGTCTTGATATGTCATGGAATTGGCCCATCCAAATAATATGGACACCTCTGAGGAATCTATTGTGTAGTGAAATTAGTGTTGCAGTTTGTAAACTGTTCGGTGAAAATCTCACAATAAAGTGTGACTAGAATATCTCTCGACAATAACATTGATGTGCATTTGTTTTTTATACACTCACGTGCCTTACAACTGCCATCTTAAAATTTTAACAAATTTTGATCTTGAATAACTTTTTTATTTTTAGCCTGATACGATTTATTTTCAATGAATTTGGGTAAATTTATTTCAAATTCATTCACATCGAATAAATTTTTTATGGTTCATTTTATGTAAACTATACAAGAGAAAACAAAATTATGTTTCTTTCATCAAGGTTCAATACACCCTTTTGAACGACACTCAAAACTATTGTTGTGAATCATGTCCTAAAGAAAATAACGCCGATCGCCACTGGTAGTCATAAACTAATCGTGACGTAGCTAAGAGTGCGCGAGTATACGATGTACCGTGCCTCTCTAGAAGCAGCGAGAATAGTGCTACCGATTTCGATGGCGAAATTTCTACTGCATTCGATTACGATATATAAACGCTAGCCTCAAGCATATCGACATAGTCAAGTGGAAGTTACAGTACGGTAAGCAAAGTGATCCAGTAAGGCAATAGACATTTAAATAATAGTTGAAGTTTCAGTTGAAGTGTTTGTTATATTTAAAGTGCAATGAAGTTAAGTTTGATTATTTAGTGTAGTCAATTATTGGTCAACCCACGGGAAAAAACATAACATTTGGTGTCGAAAGTGAAATAATTCACTGAAATTTTACTGTTTTATGGTGAAAACAAGGAGTGTCGATTACGACGACATAGAAAAGCTTAAGAAAATGTTTGAGGCTTTGCAAACGAGCGTGGCGGAGAATGAGAAACGCAAAAGAAAGGAAGATGAACGCAAAAGAGAGGAAGATGAACGCAAAAGAAAGAAAGAACAATTACGCCGAAATCGTGAAGATCGTGAAATACTACAAGATATTCAAGGAAAGCAGGAAAAATACAATCAGATGTACCTCCATTATTGGAAGATTTTAATCTTCCCAAGTGAATAAAGGAGAGGTACAGGAGTATATTCAGGAAGAATTTGGAAAATTATTTCGAAAAACAACGGAATTGGAAAAAGTAGTCGATGAGAAGCTTGAAGGGGTTGAAAGGAAATTTGAAGAGGAGCTTGAAGAAGTCGAAAGGAAACTTGAAGGAGTCGACAAAAAGTTTGAAGAGATTTTCCTGGAACTTCGGAAAGAAATACCCAAAAGGATTACTGTGGAAAAATGCAAATCGGAAACGACATCTTCCCCTTCTAGCAGTTTTATTAAAACTTCAACTTTCGACGACGAATCCTCATGGTCAATTTATCGCAGACAATTTGAGGCCGCTGCAAAAAATAATAGCTGGAAAAATGAGAAGAAAGCAACAGCTCTTATACTGGCACTACGAAAAAGGCTTTCGAAATTCTGCGAAATATTCCAGTGAATAGGCAGAAGGAATATAAAGCAATCATATCAGCTTTGGAGGTTATATATGGTAGTGAGTACCTCAACAAGTCTACCGAACTCAACTGAAGGTGACAACTCAAGGTCCATCAGAAAGTTTGCAAGAGTTTGGAAATGAGGTTGAAAGGTTAGTAAGACTCGCCTACCCAGAAGCACCGGATAACTTCACTCACTGGATTAGTGTCCATAGTTTCATCGAGGGGGTTCGTGACACGAAGTTGCAGCAGGATAGCACGTCATAAAATATTGAATGAAGCCATCATTTATGCCCTAGAATTTGAAGCTGCTGAAAATGCTTCGCGACAACAACGAAAAGTTCTTGTGAGGACCATCAATGAAAAGGAAGACGAAGGAACAGATCGACTCATGGTAGGAACTCTCTAAGAAATATTTGATGAATGGAACTGCACCCATGGCAAGAGTACGGCCAAAATGTTATAACTGTGGCAAAGAAGGACATTTAAGGCGGGACTGTCGATCTCTTTCAATATCCAACGAAAGAAGAGACTGGCGTTTGGGATCACCCGAACTAGAGCGTCGGGGTTCGGAAAACCAAATTCAGCCATTGTACAGAGGATACATTGGCTGCTGCATCCCAAGCCTCCAGGTATTCGATTTCCATGATTGGACGCAACAGTAACAGCTTAGTTGTCGACGGATTTCTGAATAATCATCAGTGCCTTTTCACCATCGATACTGGAGAAATGAGGTCAGTAACGAGAGCCGACATTTCCAATAGAAGCAGTTTGAAGAAATTATCAGTAGTAACTTTCCTGGAAACAGCCACTGGGATAGATTGACCGTCTATGAAGAAGCTGAAGTGAGACTGAAGCTTGGAAATTGCGAAATAGAAACTAAGGTATTACTGGCCAACATCGTCGACGAATTCATTCTGGGACTATACACCATGTCCCCCAACGGATCCTTGGTGGACATACGGAACAAACTGTTGAAGATTGGAAATGAGGATATTTTGCCCAACGTGCCCTCTCAGCCTTATGATAGCGTCAAGGTGGGTATGCTGAAAGATTCCAGAATCTCTCCCAACACCGAAAAAATTATTCAAGCGGGAATTGCTGGGCATGGCGGCTTGGGTATAGCATTGATAGAGCCATCCAACTGCTTTGAATCAGGAATTATCGTGACCAGATCCCTCGTGAATGGTATAATCAAACCATTCCAGTAAGAATAATCAACCCTAATAATAAAAGGGTGACTCTCAAGAAAGGGCAAGTAATAGGAATCTGCGAACCGATCGTAAAAATCAAATCGAAAAAGAAGTCCCTCAACAGCGTGCTCAAAAACCCGCAAAGGAACTCAAAAAGACATGGAGCCATCTGTTCGAAGAACTATGCAAGGCCACCCGATTCGTCGAGGAAGAGAAAGATATGTTTGCAAAGGGCAAAATCAATGGTCGAACAGCTTTAGTTCAACATCGCATCGTTACTGGCGATGCCAAGACCATACTTTTGTTCAGGCCAGTCTCAACTCCATACACTGTAGGTTAATGGACTTACACCTATCAGAAAACAACTACTCCCCTGGCTAATACCACGAAGGACGTTGGATTGTATCCGACAGGTGTCAGTGCAGGATTCTTCAGAAGTTATTCCTGCATATACTGTTGGCGATACAACTGTCGCGATAGATTTTCAATTATTGGAACACATAGCCACTGACTATATGTGAAGTTTTTTCTTTATACGAGAAATTGGGCAAATTTCGGATATGCGGTTCGTGGTATTAGCCAGGGGAGTAGCTGTTTTCTGATAGGTGTCAGTCCATCAACCTATAGTGTAGGGAGTTGAGACTGGCCTGAACAAATTGTTCCTTTAGATGATTTGATTATAGCCAGTCTTGAAGTATGCCCACTGACTATATGTGATAGAAATATGTTTGATGTGAAACAGTCGGGGATAGTTTTCCTCACATTTATCAAAGAAAGGATCAAAATCGGGATGAAAATAAAAAATTAGGTAATTCAAGATCGAAATTTGTTGATATTTCAAGGTGGCAGTTTTTTATGCATCTGAATGTATTTTATGAAACGATTAGAATATTTGTGGTCAATCTTTTTCTTTTCAAAGTTATACCCTGAATTTTACTGTGAAACTTTAACGATTGATAAAATTCAAGAGGCATCTACGAAATGAGCGGATCAATATTCAAAAAGCTAGGCCATTCATTTAGGTTGACATGCTTTGCATCGGATTCCAGGGCCGGACATTCCTACCTTACTTTCAATTTTTCAGGTACACTCCCTCAGATTTGAAAGTGACTGTAGGACTATTCGACAGATGCTTTGCGGATGTGTCCTCAATGAACCTTAGCATCAATAGAATTATAATCCATCCAGATTTCAGCCCTGGCAATCGAGCACATGATATTGCCTTGCTTGAATTAAGCAATCCTGTTCGATTTGAGCGACGAATCTCACCAATATGTTTGGCAACCCCAAGTAAGTTAGAAACTTCATATTTTTTTACCATTTTTTTCTTAAAAACTCCAATCCAAAATAAATTCATTGAAAAAACCTTCCCACAGAAGAACAACTCAGTAGCATTTGTGCTGAGTTGAACTTCGCCTTTTGTTATATCAACCACTAGCTCTGTAATTTATGTAAATATTTGTATGTAACTACAGCTGGGAAACAATAAAGATGATTTTTATTATTATACTAGATCTAGAGCACTGCTCACGACACCCGTTCCGCTGACTAGAATAACATCATCAGAAGATGACTAAAACTGAGCTTCGTTAGTTTTGGTCATCTCCTGAAGATGCTAAATTGGTTTGAGAGTTCTCCAAAAAACTTAGTTTTTGGTTAATGTCAGGGTCATTCCATGTCAAATCCACATACTGAACATCATCATATCAGATTAGGACGAAACAGACACAGGCGAACATTTTATGTAGTCTGAAAAATATATAAAGTTTTGATTTTTTATGTCAACCTAAGCCTCCAAGATTGCGAATTAGATTATGATGATCTAGGTTTTTCATGCACCACATGATACGAGTATCAAATAAAAGGGTTTGCAGAAAAGAATACGAAAAATTTAAAAGGCACTCTAAATCCAATATGGCGGATTTCTAAAGATGGCAAACAATGTTCGAAGGTAAAAATTGAAAATGGCGGAAAACAAGATGGCTGGCCTAATAATTTTAAGAAGTTGTGACTCGGTAAAGATAATATATTGTTGGTGCTCGAACAAATGTTGTTGGGTTCAACTTTGCAAAAATGACTCATTGAGTCGATGAATAAAAAAATTAAAAATGAATTAGTATCAAGAAACATTTTTACTAGCTCTGCTATTTACGTTTTATTCACCTGCTTTAAGAAGAAAATAATAAACTTCATTTCGAATCAAATCATTACATGAGTTTATTATATTATATAATGTTGACAATATAAAAGCGAGATTTACCTATGTAGGAATAGAATATGTAATCTTGAGCTGATAAATGAAATTATGAATATTCTGACCCTTTACTTGATGAAAATTGATAACAATATTCATAATAATAGTTCTAGAATTTTCATAATAAATTTAACGTGTTTCGTTAAACGTTAACTTCATCAGTGACTGGTGAATAACTGATGTTAATTATAATACCGCTTGGTCACCTGTTTATTCCTGGCAATTTCGTTATTGAGAAGAATATAGGCAACCTATATCTTTACAACAACTTTTATCATATTCTTTCATCTTAAACTTATTTTTAATGATCAACAAATAACATAATAAGTACACGATTCAGTTATAGACAACTTATTTGCAATTCATAAATGTATATATTATCTAAAATATAATATTTTTCACCGTCAAATAACAGATGAGGGAATGTATACAGTGTGGACGTGAACAGTTCTTTCTTCTCAACTTTTGAACAGGACAAGATTTAATATTGCTGATATCAGATATCTGATATCAGATGATCTGTGGAGTATTTTTAAGAGACCATTTGCCTATCCACCGGTTTGGATAACTGTCATACAGCTACTTTCGAACCAGCCTGTCGTGATGAGGAGATTGCAAATTTGAAATAATTGTTTTGAAACATCTCGGGTTAATGGCATTTGTAAATATGTGAACTTGGCGCATGCTCATTATCGTTTAGACCTAAGCTATCAAAATGGAGGGAGGAGGGTAAAGGTAACGAGAAGGTCGCATAAGGGAGAAAGCTTGAAAAAGTGTCCTACTTTCAGCAGTAAGAAACAGTTCAAAAACCCTCATAGGCACAGGGTATGATATGAATTAAGCAGTTCAATATGTGGAATGGGAAAGTGGCGAAGATGAAGTTGTAGATGGATCAGAAAGTGAAGGTGGCAAAACTTGGATCATGTTAGTCCCCAAGTAAGTGATCCTGCAGAACACATTGACACTTTACGCACGAAAACTATTATTTAGGTAGAGATAAGTTATAACTTGTGATGCACTGTTTGGCATCCTTAGTGTAGTAATCAATATTACTGGAGTTCTTTCCCAACATCAAACCTCGACAAGAATTTCAATCACCAAGTGATCATCTTCAAGAGGAAGATTAAGTTGAAGTTGGAAAAAATAACCCACACTTACCTGAGCTTTTACGAATGAAAATACTTGATATNTCAATCACCAAGTGATCATCTTCAAGAGGAAGATTAAGTTGAAGTTGGAAAAAATAACCCACACTTACCTGAGCTTTTACGAATGAAAATACTTGATATTTTTGGGAAAACTGCTGAACCAACACCACAAAGACATATTGGAGAGAAAAGACGTTGTAAAATGTGCCCAAAAAGCAGAGACAAGAAGACAAGTATCGTTGTGTGACGTTTGTTTCTAACGAAACAGAATTAATTTTGATTTTCTTTGTTGACACACAGAAAGTGTTATAAAAATTTCAAATGATGAATTATGAAAATAATGTGACAGGTTGGAAACTAATACAAGATATTGATTGTATTGAGTCAAGTAGTCAAAAATTTAAATTAGTTGATTTACTAATAGTGATTCAAATCTAGAATGTTATATAGAGAAAAGAATACTGATGAAATTAAGAAGATTGTGGTAGATATAGAGAATTTGTGAATTTAGGAAATTATTCTGTTATATGATATGGAATATTAAAAAAACATCATCATAGGCAAAAAATATAATGAATATAGGATGTTAAAAAATTAGAGATATCTACAGCGTGTTGATAAAATACTGTTACATTTTTTCCCGTGGGTTGACCAATAATTGATTACACTAAACAATAATCAAACTTAACTCTATTTCACTTTAAATACAACAAACACTTCAACTATTATTCGAATGTCTATCGCCTTACTAGATCGATTGGCGTACCGCACTGTATCTTCCACTTGACTGTCTCAATGGGCTAGTGGATGGCGCTTATATTTGGCAATGGAAGGCGCTGGAAAATTCCTCGGGATTCCAACAAAGTCGGTAGAATAACCGTGAAATGTCGCAATTGGTTTATGGCTACCAGTGGCGGCCGGCATTATTTTCTTTAAGGTATAATTTACAACAATACATTATGTCATTAAATAATGTTGAAAAAGTTGTGGCATTGGATGTTGTGAATATTAATCATAACTCTTGAAAAAAATTGTCTACAACTCAAACATTCGATACAGAATGTTTGAGAATGTAGAAGATAATATATTTTGACAACTACTTTCGGATCCATTCGTATCTGGAGCAATCGACAAGTAGTGTTTTTGGATCGATAGTCGGGAATTTTGATATGTTATAGGAGTTGAATAATTATTGTTTTGGTATTTCAGATAAGGTAATAATCATTCAGGAAATATTTTATTTCACGTACCTATTGCAGGTACCAAAAGGATATTGGCTGTATCATTGTATATTTAACGATTTGTTTGTCAAAATGCGTCAGTTTACTTGAAAATGCTCTGTGAATCCATTTTGAAGAAGGGCTGATTTGAGTTGAGCCAGCTCTTGTGGTTCGTTGTGGCGGTCTGTATATGAGGTTGATAGATCTGTTAAAAAAATCTGTTTAAAATATGTTTATCTGTTAGCCAGCTGTCACGCCCCTACGAACGACTACCCTCAGAAGTCGAAACTTGTGCGAATAAAGATTAACGAGGTCTTATTTTTTAACATGTGATTCCTAATACAGGTTGGGCGATAGCAAGTGAAAATCGATCGTTCAAACTAGGGCTTGAACCACCGACCAACACGGCAATCAATTCGAGTGAGTGAACAAAGCACCCACGTTGAACCGCCTGGCTACCAACCGCCATCTGTGGATGAGATAATTCAAGACGGAGTTTGAAGACGTGTTGCGTTTTTGTAAAACTGTTTAGTGAAAAATCTCACAATAAAGTTTTTTTGAATACGTTAGAACAGTTAACGTTTGGTTATATCCAGTAGAAAAACCATAATTTACAAAAAGAAATTTGAAAATTTTTATGGTAAACTTTTTCAAAAATTCCGTGAATCATTATTGCACTTTTATTTAAATAGAATATTCAATATTGTGAATGGTGACAATAGAATGGATGCTCCGTGACATTTGAAACTATTGAAAAAATAATATCATGTGTAACATTCCCTTTATTAATTATTTTCAAAAGTACTCGATCTGCAAATTATTATCTATAGACGAACATAATATTAATAGGTATAACAAATCAGAAAATTCTCAAATTATACATTGACGAAAATGTCAGTAAAGACATCTGACTTGAGACTGAATGGTAGTTGATTTGACCTGATGAAAGTATTTTTTCATTAGTAATTATAAAATATCGAATCCTTAAAGGAAAATCGTTTTTTTTTTCACATAATACAGTATTCTTGATAATATAATTAAATTCAACTCTTCAGAAATATTCTAAATTCATTTCAACTTCTTTCAGATACACGGTACTTAGGACAAGTGGCAACAGTGTACAGCTGGACACAAGCAATCTCTAAAAATGAAACCACTGATACCAGTCAAACAATCAAATCCTGTAGGCCGCGAAAGTTGGGCTTACCAATTTTGGGCTATGAAGAATGCTTAAATGCTGCGTCCAACTCAAACTATGTCAGTATTGACAAGGGATGTATTGGGGTTATTGGTTCTTTCAGTCCTATTTGCGAGGTAAGTAGTAATCAATAAATAAAAGCAATTCATTTATATATAAAAGTTTTACAAAAATTGAAAAATAAAATTAATATATTACAAATTTACATATGCTTACAGGATTGGTTAACACCTACATCATACATTTCCCACAGATTGTTTGAAATGTTTGAAAGATATTAAAGGTGAATTAAGCAATTCCAAGTTATACCTACAGATGATTAGCTGACTTCATAATTCTTCAAATTGTTTCATTTTTACTATAATTAGTCCTGCAAAAAGGAGTTTTGAAAATATCGCTATTTCTGATCATTCTAGGATTTAAAAAAAACAAAGCAAAATAGCCATTAACAAGTTCATGCAGGAATATGAGATCAGTTTCAAGTCTTCTATGAGATTCATATTCAATTTCATATTCATATTCAATATGTTCCCTAGCTGATAAGCACAGTATTTTATAAACTTATTTCAAATCACTTTAACAAATGAACACTGATATTATAGTGAGGTGACCATATAATGAAGTTGCACTCAAGTATGGAACTAACTTGTGCACCGTAAATGATTTTATAGATTCAACACCTAGGTCTTTGGCAGAAGAGAGAGCGAAGCCTAAATTTGTATAGGCTCTTATTGAAATCTCCAGTGTATGGTACTTAAATGACATCAAAAATAACTGCTAGATCTTTGATTTCTTATATCAGCTACGTTAGGTTAGGTCTAAAGTGAGTAGGTCTCTTCGACCCTCCACCACAACCCGCATGGGTTTATTGTGGCTCACACCTATTCACACTCGGCCAAATAAACCCAGCTTCTTAACGAAGCCGATTAATTTGTATGGTGAGTGGTGAGTAGTCGGATAGGCAAGGTGCAAGATTCCCACCTTGACACCCACGACAACCTTCCCATATGAGGGTTTTTGCACGTCAGCTACACCTGACGATGCCTTAGATTGGCTTAGATTCAACCGTGCAGGGCTTTTTCGCCTCTGGTTTTGGTGAATCATCACTTGAGCGCAAACGTTTGCTAACCTGCTCATGGGGGGTTCGTTCCTCCACCTGAGACAGACTCTGCGTACGCCGCTCAAGAATTTGGTGCAAGGCCGTTTCATAAGGTACCCCGCTTTTGAGGAGACGAATCGGTCGTTTCCTGGCTGCACCACTAGACATTATTTTCAGGTTCAATTATTGGACCAGGAGTTGGAAAGTTGAGAAGTTTTCATTCCTGATCTAAATTTACAGGGAGGTCAATTGGAGTCGTAAGCAACGACATCTATCTCCTCTGTAGACTCAGCGTCAGAAAGAAGTTTACTCTGTTCATGTCCCATGAGTAGCCCCGTGAACGAGGTAACCAATCGCATATCCGAATGGCCTAACTCCTCGTATAAGGAAGAAAGGCATACTTGAAGACTGGTTGTAAATGAAATTATCTAAAAGAACAATTCGTTCAGTCCAGTCTCAACTCACCTACATTGTAGGTTAATAGACAGACACCTATCAGAAAACAACTACTCCCCTGGCTAATACCATCATACTGAACTCTTTTACAAAGGTAGCCTTCTATCCAATGTAAAATATTTCCTTGTATACCCAATGCTTTGTGCTTAGCGATGTAAGTTATGACAGACTCTGTCGAAGACCTTAGATAAATTGATATATGGAGAATCGACCTGCAACTTATTTTCTAAAAACTGATGATACGGTGTTCATAAAGAAATGGGTTAGTTAGTAGCAGTTGATTTTCCTTCGTTGAATACATGTTGACTGATAATAATGTCTTTGAGATCATAAGAAAGCTTTCTGTTGGTTAATTAGAAAATCCAACATTTTGGGCAACTCTGATTAATTGCAAATATCCCTGTAATTTTCAATATTATCACGAGAACCATTTTTATGGGTAGGTTTTGTGTAGCTATGTTTTCAGAAGTGTAGAAATGTTCCTGTTTCAAGAGAGTAATTGAATAACCGATGAATTGGTTTTGCTAATGTAAAAATATAATTTTGATCAGATGTAGAGGGATATCATCTGGACCTGTCGTAAATATACATGGCAATGACACTACCAACTCTATAATTTCCTTTATATCTATATATACTACTTACTATTGAATAAAGTTAGTAAATTTGAGGAATTGATTTTTCTTGGGCTCGACTCCCGGAACAGAATTTTTAGGACTGATCTCAGGTCAGAATCGGACCAGTTGATTCTGATCCACAAAATATACAGGATCGGTCATCCCTATATAAAAGATAAAATCGTCTTCGGGTTAATCATCCGGCCCGTTCTTGAATAGTCAAAAGCAGTCGCACAGCAAGTCCACGATCAATAAGTAGCTGTATAACTATTTCTAACTTTGTGCATGTGCTTTCGTCTTCATCATTTTGAAGAGGTGAGTTTAGGAGTTGAAGACAAGTGTTTTCGACCTGAAACTTCCGAGAAATACATCTTAAGGATGATACGAGTTCCATGTATGTGAAATTTTATATCAACGCTCTTCCACATATAACGTTGTGTAGCGTTCCTGCTTTAGCAAATATTTGAGGAACAAACTGAATACGAAAAAGTTATTTTCATGCCATTCAATGTTCAGTTTGAAAGTAATTATTTCGATTGGACATTTTCTGCAAGTTTGTATCTGACAAAAACTTCTTTACTTCACAAGTTTTCCACATTTTCTGTATAAAGATAGAGAAGTAGAAAGCAAAAATTTTCCAAAATGTTAACATGACACTTTAAATCAACATTACTAGGTAAATATATCAAAATGAATGTTAATATCAAGTAAAGACATCAATTTTTTCAACAAATATCTTTTGGTACCTTTGATTTCATTTGAATATTTCAGGTCGATTCAGGTGGAGCGGTTACGTTCAGATCCCGCCAAGGAGTGTACGAGCTCATAGGTAGAACTACAATATATAATAATTCACCCAAGACACATTTTCATTAATATTTCAGGAATTCTCAGTGACAAAAATGTATGCGATTCCGCCGCTCGTCCAAGTGTTGCTCTCTACACAACTATAAACGATCATATCTCCTGGATAACTCAGAATACAAGAGACGCCTGTTATTGTGTAAAAACTTGAGATTTTTTTTCAATTGATTTGAATGCACTGAAATATATGCTGAGTAGGAATAAAGTTTTTCAGAGTTATATAAAAATGACTTCATATGTACCCACTAATTATGTCTGCTCACAGACATGTAGGTATATAAATGTCTCCATTAGTATTAATAATATTACTAATCAAACATTACAGAGGATAACATTGTAATAATATTTCCACAGTGGTAAAAAAAGTAAAGCACTCAAAACCTTTCAAGTAAAACTCTTCTACACATTCTTAATTGACCAATCGAAATGGATCATAAGTTTAAAAATGGGAGATTTATTAATATGGCTTTGTGATTTTGTTCCATAAAATGAATATAATCTGAAATTGTATTGTGATAAAAGGTATTATTATAAGATAAAATTGTGTAGGTGATACCAATGTGATTTGAAGAGCTTTCATATACATACTGACATTATCATTTTGAAGTCAAAATACCTGCACGAAATATCTATCAAGATATCACTTATTAAAAGAAAATTCTTGTAAGATTGCTTCCCGGTGGAGCTCCATTAATTGATATTTCATTTTATATGTGACCTCTATAGAAAAGTACAGCTAGGACGTGCCCATAATCTTTCACTAACTAGGCGTCATTAAGAAAGTTTCACCTTGTTTTACTTTATCACTAGAGAAACTTCATTTGTGGTAATTTCTTTCAATATAATGGAATAATACAAATCAATTCAACACAAATCCAACAACAACAGTCAACGATATTAAAATCTTCATCCTCTATCGCTCATTTTTGTCCAGATTGATAAACTGGTCATAATAGCAACTCTTCAATGCAAGGAGCAATTACTGGTACCCTGGGAAATGTTAATATCTTCATGAATATCAATCAGACTGATTGTATTTTAATAAATTTTCATGACTTTGCCTTCACATATCTTTTATGGTTGATGTCTTTGTCTGACATTAATTTACTAAGTGCTAAATGAGGTATTAGAATTTTCAGTATGAAAAAAACAGAGGGAACAAGATAACATTCCACAATCGGCAAAACGCAAAACTTTGAATTTACAGTCATCAAACAACTTTAAGAAGCTCTCATAAATCCGTTAGATTTCTTGTAGTGGTAGGCAAACTAAAATTCTCAATAAGGAAATTTACTATACTCAAGACTCAGCTATGGGATATACCTCTGAGAAAGTTCCATCTCAGTGTCAAACGTTTTGATTAGTCATACTCATAATATATACCACTTATATACAACTAGAGATAACCACTTCATGTAAACTCAATTTTCCAAACAAAGTATTTCCAAACTCTCAGATAATATTAAACAACCTACAGACAAAAAAAAACATGAAAAATTGTATATTGGATTGAAATTCATCCATATTCTTTCTTCAATCTACCTCTTACTGCTTCAACAACCATTAATTACCTTTTTGTCATCATAATTTTGAGATATTACTGAGAAACTGTTTTGACTCACTGAAACCTTTTTGAAACTCAGAAATGAATAATTATACATAAATGTTCCATCATTGAAATTTTCCAAGAAGAAAGAATATCATTGGGATTATTGGAGACTATTTGTGTTTTTTATACAAATTACAAAATTCATTAACTCTCTGCCAATATTGAAAAAACTCAAATCCTTTGCTAAAATGTTGATAACATGCAGCAATGAAAATTCAGAAAAAAATTCCACGACAAGCTGTACTTTATGTTCGTTTCAGTAAATATTCATTTCAAGAAAATTTACCAAAGTCTAGCAGTTAATAGACACACAAATAAACATTCCTTGTTTTTTCTAAGTAGGTACCGTAAACTGCTCAAAATGATTTTTCATGTAATGTATAATTTAGGTTTTTATACCAAAAATGAGAATATTAACTCTTTCCAAAATATAATGATAATAATATGTCTTTATTCATAATTTCATAATAGATAATTCCATGGAGAGTTCATTTTTCTTATCTTAAGTTTGTATTGAAGAACAGCATAGATGAAGAGAATATGAAAAAAGACAAAAGTGAAATGATACTGATAATAAAAGTGAGTAACTAAGTAAACAGGTCAAATAATTCGCGTGAGACATTAGGTGGGAATTGCAATGATATCATGACGCGACATATATGTATCAAGTCATGATATCGTTTCTATGCGAGAAACAAGCTTTTCAACTTTTTTTGGAAATTTCTCAGTGGAATTTTTTTGTATTCCCTAGGAATACAACCTAGTCGCATTGTAAGAGAAGCTACGAGTATAAATTGAGTAAAATATGCTCATTGCGAGAACAATTACGAGATAGCGAAACCACATAGACAAGTGGGGTATCTCATCAGAAGAATTTTGTATGTGAATGTAACTGGAATTCTCTCAGACACTTCAATGAAAGCTAGCCAGTCTTGAAAGGAGGTACTAATACGATCGGGCCAAGAAAATTTCCTTCGTCAGTCGATTTGAAAATATCATCCTATAAAAGGATCAAACTCCCGACTGTGATCTGTTCTTTGGTGATCAATTCATGGCAGGAAGAATGTTTGTAGGTCTGGTATCAGAAAAATCAGTGGGCTCATTACATTTTGCTAAAGGTCTAACTCTGACATGTTTTCAGAGAAAGGGTAATTTACTAGTTTCAATGGCATCATTTGAAATATATATAAGTTATATATTCGAACAAAAGGGACAAAACTGTGCCACATTCTGATTTTAATTTCGTCATATCCTACAGCATAGCTGCTAGTTTTATTCGAATTCCTCATTACTGTGTGTGAGTCTACCGTATAGAACATGAAGTTTGGTTCATATTTAGGGATTGAATAAGCCTCAACTAAAGCCATCTGCCTCGTAGTTTTTTCCAATATCGGTATACTAGTGAAATGTTCATTCAGATCATTCAATTTATTCAAAGAAGGGGGGATATCTGATGTTTCGTTTTCACAAAGTACTTTAAGGGATATGAGCGCACTCCATGTAGTCTTGGAGTTGTTGCTACGAAATATAAGTATTAAAAAAAACGGTTATCTCACAACAAACAGCACTAGAGACTTAATTACTTAGTGTGCTATAGTATTCCCAGGACCCTGGGGTTTTCAGTTTTTTGTAACAGTCAAATGCTTTATGTTTCAATTTAAGCATTAGTTTTATAATATACGTAGTCCAGGACTTAGGTGGCTTAGTGCTCCTAATTGTGCGATAAGGAATATGCATAGTAAAAATTTGCAATAAATTCTCATTAAAGAATGAGAGCATGTCAATAAAGAAATAAATAGTATTCCACTTGATGTGATTCAAATCCTCCTCAAATGAGTTAAAATCAAAATTCCTAAAATAGGTATGTCAATTTCAAGAATAAGGGGAAAATGGTCTGAGATTCCAAGAACTGAATACTTTCAAAAAACAGTGTAGCAACAGAATTTAATATATTACCAGCTAGGATGATAATTAAGTTTATATCATTTGAATTTTATATTTTTACATTGATACGATATACATACATTATTAAGGTTAAGTTAGTTTTGGAAATACTGTATTTGTATTATTGATTTTTCTTCATAAATAAATAAATATAAATGCGCGCTTCAGGCTGATATCGCTAATATATCGAATTATTTTTATGTTGTGTTTTTATGTTTTTATATTAGTGAAAATATCGAATGGGTTCAAAATGCCTTTATTTACCAGTAGAGCTGGCTGAAAACAATCCAAAAATATATGAAACTTAATTTAATAATTTTTTCATAAGTCAGCTGAAAGAGAAAAAAAAATCATTCACTTTAACATGTTCCCGAGAGAGTTGGCGTCATCAGTAGATAATATATAATTAATTCTGATGCCACCTACTTGGTCGGTGGATATCAAACATAATTGAAATTGACCAGCAATTTTGAGATGTCAAGTTGAACACTTGCAAAACGTTTTGCAGATATCATACATCATAATCATCCTGGTGATAAAGTTCTGATAATAATCGATAAACATATGATGGTGCATTGCCACCCCTGAAAGAGAAAAAACTTGTTAATTGTGAAATCAAAATTTCTTCATATTCTTCATAAGTGCAGATAATAACCTGTTCCTACGATGTGTGAAAGTTGTGGCACAAGCAAATGTAAGTGCCACAGTCACACAAGTGTGGAACTGGTTATCCGCAACAGTAGCACACCATACTTTCTCTATGATCAAGTTGAAAATCCATTTTTCAACTGTAAACTAAATATTTTACAACTTAATAGTAAGACTGCAAAAATGTATATTGATAGTACCGCAGTAAGCAATATTAACTGCAGATACAATATCTTTTGACTTTTCATTTTTTTTTTAGAAATTGATATTCTACTAGTATATGCTGTTATATGAAAAATGTAAGCCACCACAATTACGGAATAATGCCTCATAATTCTTGAAATGTATGGGTGTAGTGGAATGTGTATTGATTGGTCCACTGATCAAACAGTCGTGGGTTCAATTTTGGACCAAGTCAATAATTTGTATTTTTAGTTTGACATAAGGGTGCAGGAATGGCAGTGTTGAATAATATTTCACACAGTTTAGTGCATATGTACAGAATTTACAATTGTCTGGTTTAAAAGGTAGTACAGAATATGACATTTTCTATGTAGAAAAACTATTTTTCTTTTCATTCTCTTATACACAGATGGTTTCTCATTTCAAAATAAGCCAGTATTGGCTTATCAATATAGTTTCTAATCATACAGTTTCTTATATGAAGAATTTAAACAACTTCATTTGTTGATACCTAGATGCTAATTCGAAAAGTACTAAACCAATATTAAAAATAATTCCACTTTAGAAAGGCTACATTATCAACGAGTAATATGGGCTGTATTTTATATTTTTGAATTTTAGGTCCCTATGAAAACTGCGAAAATTTACCTTTAAAAGTGAATTATTTAATGTGTTCGCCTAGGAGAGTTGATACTTTATTTATAAATGGGTAACATCCCTAGTTAATTACAATGGTAAAAGATATGAATGTAATTACAATGGCAAAAGAAACTGTATTTCATCAGTTCGGACTTCCATTGTCTAATATAATGTAAATTGATTTGTAATCAATTATATTAGACAATGGAAGTCCGAACTGATGAAAAACACCACGAAACATTGTCAACGACCTTCAAACAAACGGTAAAAAAACTGTTGAAATCTATTTCTTGGTTAACCAGGTGTCGCCCCCTATGAACGACAACTTTCAAAAGTCGAAACTTGTGCGAGCTAAAGACTAACAAGGTCTTACCTGTTACCATGTGATTCCTAACACGGGTTGGACGATAGCAAGTTGAACTCGATCGTCCAGCCTCGCGGCTTGAACCACCGGTTCACACAGCCGTCGATTGAGTGGAGCAAAGCACCCAAGTCAACCCGACTGGCTAACGTCCTTATGTCTATGTCATTCATTAGAAATGAAAAAAAAAATTATAATAAATTTCCAAAAACGTTTGTCTAATATAATATAAATTGATTTGGAATCAATTATATTAGACAATGGAAGTTCGAACTGATGAAAAACACCACGAAACATTATCAACGACCTTCAAACAAACGGTAAAAAAACTGTTGAAATCTATTTCTTGGTTAACCAGCTGTCGCCCCCTATGAACGACAACTCTCAAAAGTCGAAACTTGTGCGAGCTAAAGACTAACAAGGTCTTACCTGTTACCTTGTGATTCCTAACACGGGTTGGACGATAGCAAGTTGAACTCGATCGTCCAGCCTCGCGGCTTGAACCACCGGTTCACACAGCGGTCGATTGAGTGGAGCAAAGCACCCAAGTCAACCCGACTGGCTAACGTCCTTATGGCTATGTCATTCATTAGAAATGAAAAAAAAAATTATAATAAATTTCCAAAAACGTTAACCAAATTGATTTTAGCTTCACAAAATATACTGACAGGTCTGACCGATCTTATTTGACAGCTTCATCACTACAAATCATAAACTAAAGTTCTCCCATGAGTCTCAATCTCTCTATACCTACTAAAAAACTACCGAACAGATTTGTATAGGGTTTTCGCCAATAGATGGAGTGATTCAAGTGAAAGATTTATTTATGTAATTTATTATTGTTTGTGTGAATTGGTTGATATACTTGTATGTTATATGTGAGAAGCCAGGGCAGTGCTACCCTGCGAGCTTTTATCGAAGACACTGCCTGATTTCTTTGAAATATAACAAAACAATTTACTACATATTGTTATTCTTTCATATGTCTACAAAAAAGTCAGCAATGGCATATATCTATATTTTAAAATTAAAATTGTTAAGATTCACGGCCAGTGAGAAGCTCTGTTGGTGGAGTCACCTGAACTCAAAGTTCTCAGTTTCTCTTCAAATAAGACCGAATAACTTATATCACGCTGAGATTTAACTATTTATTTCGCCTTGTTCCAAACTCATCTCTTAACTATAGAATATTACTCTAGGATAACTTATCAACTGCACACAGTATTCTTCGTCAACAAAAGAGAGTAAAAGAATCCTAGCCAACACCAAATATAGGGTTACTTGCAGGCCACTATTCAAAAAGTTGAAGATCATGACTCACTTTCGTGACTTTTCATTTTGAATCATATACTTTGAATCCATAAGACTTTGCCAAATCTGACAACACAATCTGATATCGATTGGCATAACACCGGGGAAGCACAGAATGTTAGATTAACCAGATACAGATAACCATATCTTTGAATAACTCGTTGAAGTATAAGTTGTATATTCTTCCTAGAGAAAAAAAACTAACCATGTTCTGTTTAAAAGAATCATCAAATCGTTTTTAGATGAGAATTACTATTATTCGCTTGAGGAATATGAAGAATGTGTGAAACAAAGAGGTATGACTATGACGGTAAACCACATAGTAATTTTATCATTGTTGTTTTTATTTTATAATGGGAACTCTTTCAAATGAGTTACCATTATTATTTATTGGTATACTCTCCCATACTTTTATTATTAAATCCAGTCAATGGTTTGCTATAAATATGAAGCTATGTATAACGTAGTCAAATCAACTATTTCATTCTTTAAGGATAGCTTACTTTACCTTATCACACACAGTCTTGATTGCTTCAAGTATTTGATGAGGATTATAACTGCCTCTTACACCATACCATTCAAGATCAGACTGCAAAATGAAAACTATCGCGCAAGAAAATGAAGTTGATACTACACGCGGGAAGAAGAAAGATATTGAGGTGGTTTCGTTTTACGATTTGAATCATTTTGAAGGAAATTGCTCAATTTGTTCCAAGATTTCCTGAATATTCTAAAACATTCCTAAATGTTTCAGATTGTTCTGGAATTTTGTGGAATGCTCAAGTGAAAATGGAGCCTTCTTCTTGGTTGAAGGTTAGACGGCTACCACATCATATAATTCCCTTGATTGTTATACAATGATCTGAAATGTTCTCGAACATTCCAGATTATTAGTCATTGGAAATTCCAATCCCTATTTATTAAGTATGAAAATCCTTATTTATCAATCATAAACAACAGTTTGAAGACAGTTTGAAGAAATTTCATATGGACAATTCAGTTCATGACATTAAACATCGAAGAGTCTGTTGGATAAATAAATGCCTATTTCACCTTTCAAACAGATATTGACTAGATATCGGCTACGTCATAAACTATTTGGTTATATTCAGTGGAAGACAAAAATTTGCTAAAAGAACCATAGTTTGCGCTGTTCAGGCCCTATCCCCCGAAGCCCCGATACATTGGGGAGGGTGCGCCAGCATTATCAACCAACGACCACTCCCCACACCGTGGGGTAAGTGGTCATTGGGCCCGAGAATCATGTGCCCTGAGCAAGCGCAGTGAGCCAAGAATGACAGCCTTCTGCATCTGTCCGGCTGAGATTTCTGCCTTAGTGTGGCAAGCCGGTATGATACTTGTTACTTATTATTATTATTATCATTATTAATATTATCAATATCATTATTAGATTAATAAACCATGAAGTGTATAAATACATTGAATATTTATTTATTTACTGGATAAACTCCATTACAGTGAAAATCACATACAGAATAAAGTGACTGATACAAATATACATTAACCAAGAGTAGATACACCATCACACAAAATGAAATGTAATGTATGAGAAACAATATCCTTAGTTACACATTCATTTTACCTAAATACTTTTTAAACTTTTCATAAGATTACCCTAGAATGCCCATCTCCTTGTCATTCACTAACTTTAAATTTTTTTCAATATGTGAGTGTTTGTCGTAAATGATGGAATGAAAGTCTAACTTGAACAAATAGTTGTCCTTGGTGGCATAAAACAGTTTTAGTCATCTCCTCTTGTTCTCAATGAATTGAGGCAAAGAGTTTGATAAATAGAAACAAAAAAGGGTTTACCTACAAAAATTCGGGAAATTCTGAATTTTTTGTTATATTTTCTAGGATGGGTGTTTTTGTAGAACACATGTTTCGGGATTTTGTTTTATAGCTGTCACTTGAAATCAAATCAAAAACGGAACTTATTGCTATATACTTACTGATGACTAATGAAGAGAGTAACAAGTTCAGGTGGTACATAATCAAAAATTGGATTGTAAACTTGAACAAAATTCAAACATTTTCCAAATGAAAAAGGTAGAACTTCCGCTGGAGAGGCACACACATTCAAAGCTTCATGATATTGAGAACCCACATATAATGGTGTGAATTTGTACATATGTGACAGAACCATAACCTATAAAAGTTAATTTAACATTAATAGTGCTGGCGAAATCAGTGTCAATCAAACTAACCAAATTGGTTTATAGCACAAGCATATGAGAAGATTGATACATAGGAAACTTCATTTATTGACATTGACATATATAGAATCTTGTTTCGGCGAGGGCAACCTAGTTTAGGGAGGTCACATTCAAACTTACCAAAAAACATTATATGTCGGGGAAACAGTAGGGATCTAACCCATTTGTAATCCACATATATAACTATATTTAAACTGTATTTTTCACATTATTTACTTACTGTTAGAGGTAAACTTCATGGTAGTGGTGAAATTTCAGTGGTAGACTATGTCCCCTCTATATAAACCACTGTTTATTGATTATCTCATTATTGAAATATTGTCACTTCAAATACCTTATGAAACTGAAATTCGCAGTCAAACTGCTTGCTTTTTTAAAATACGATTCCTAGTATGGGTAGGCAATGGACTTAAAACCACCACTCACAGCCGGAATTGAACCAATAACCATTGGGTTGCGTATTCAATAGCTTGACCATCAAACCTCATTACATTGATCATAAAATTATGACATACCCTATTCAAGTGCAACTGAGTCATCCCTTTCACATAAGTACTGGGACATATCAAAATACTGGTAAGGTCAAGGACATTACTCCCATGCTTTCAATTAGATGTGTATATCCTTTCAGCAATATACAAGTCATAAATAGATTCCCATGTTCAAAAAATATTTAAATGAATATCTATTAAAGTTATCAGGATACGACTTTATAGGAAGTTGTAAACGAAGTCATATTATATGTAGTGAAGTAATAAGGAAAGTTTGTATCATAGGAGACATTCCACACCATATCTTTGTCGTGTTAGAATTGCATTAAAATTAAATTTCAAATAGATATATGTCATTTAGTATTCAAAGAAAAATGTGAATAAATGAAAACATAAATTTCTTCAAGGCACTCACCGGAACAGAGTAATGTTTAGCAGCCAATGCAACTGTATGTATTCCACTTGCTGTTCTCAAACCGCCATCAGCTAAGACAGTGTGAGTGCCAATGATGACCTTATTCACTTTGGACATCATTGCAAAGACAGCGGCATCTGGTATTAGTTTTGCTTTTATTTTACTTTTAAGTAGATTTGATTTTACTTGTTTTTAAAACACAAAATATCTAGGAAATGAATAAAATGATACTTAACAGTTAGCAATCATTTACTACAAATATGACAATACTAGTCATTATTACACAAAGTATACCATCAAACATCTCTGAAAATGGTATCTTTTTAGGGTAGAAACTACTCATTGGATTAACCTGAGTAAATTGGATATAATTGGATTACAAACATATTTGGTAATTATTTCCCATTTTTCTTTGGTTTTAGAAGACCACCCTGTAACTGTAGAGAATCTTCATGACAATATATACGTGAGTAAAAAAATGCGACTAAGAGAAAAGTGGGCATGTATTGTATTCAACATCCTCTAGTTCAGAAACTGGCCTGATTGATTTGAGCCAATAAACAAACATTTTCAGATCGATTACTACGATTTAATAAAACGGATTTGACAGAACGCTTCATAAGAAAAGTGAAATATCTTTTCTCCACAAAAGTTAAAAACGAATCAAAAAAGTTTTACAATTATAAACAGAAAACCATTTTTTATTAGTAAATGTTATGTCACATCATGTGACAAATTTAGGGAAAATGGATTTATTGAACTATCGTAACTACCAAGTCCACAGGCCCATTCCAGCAAATTATCGTAAAGTAGAATAGCATAGTTCTAAAGAAAGAATCGATTTAAAGGTAAAATAAGTCATATGAAAATGTAAACAAATATCTAATTTGTATTTCCTAAAACATCGCATGGTCTCCAAAACATTGTAAGGTGCAATTCACATGGTACAAAATGTGCGACTCACTTATAAAATTTTATTACTTTATGACCAAAGATAGTTCAGTAATGTGCCTATTTTATATTTTTTCACAAATAAATAACCTTAAAAGTATGATTATTTGGTATTCTTATCACGGGCGTAGATAAATAATTTTTAACATAAGTGCTGAACTTAAGATAAATATCACAAAGTGAAATTATTTTTAAATTTACCAAAATTATGGTAAGTGCTGGACTTACAATAAAATTACAATGAGAACTTATTTTTGATGTAGGCAAAGTATTGTAAGTTACACTACAAAAAATTTGAAATAATTTTAAAAAAAAGGCATTACATTTCATCAAAAACTCATCATAATACGTCCAGATGCCAATTTTCACTTCAAACGGCAATTTCTAAACATAATTATTGAAAAAACTGCCGTACTGTAAAATTTACTAAACGAGACACACGATGTTATGGCGAAAAGGTATCGATATAAGCATTATAACTGTTGAGGTAGTTCTTTTTTTCTCCGGTATCAAGCTTCACCTGCGAAAAAGCTTCAACATTGAAACTTCTTTATGTCACTTTTGTTCAATCTAGGCTGGAATATGCATTTGTTGTGTGGAGTCCCGACTATCAGGGTCATATAAATCAACTAGAAGCCCTACAGAGGCGCTTCCTAAAATATATGTCTTTTAAACTTGAAGGCACATATCCTACTGTAGGAATACCCTATTATGAATTGCTTGAAACTAACAATTTTTGTAGTCTCGAGGTAGGGCGTAAATATTTTTCATTTCTTTTTTTTATTCAAGGTCATAAACAATATAATTACCTGCTCTCAATTGTTACATATGTTGAATTTTTGGGTTCCTAGATGCTCATCTAGGAATAGTGTCACATTTTATCTCAAGAACAAATATAATGAAAAAATCTCCAATTTAAACAATGTGGAGAATACCTCTAATTCTGTTAGTCATGTCCTAGATATATCAAATCACATCAAATCAAATCAAAATATACTTTATTGTCCGAAGATTTGCATCTTATTGACAAAGTCCAAGAAATATAAAAAAAGTACTAAAAAAGTATAAATGTAAATATAAAAAAGTTCCAAAAATGAATAAATGTAAATATAAAAAAAGTTCTAAAAATGTATAGATAAAATACCACCATGTATAAAGTGATAGTACAATAGTAGTAAAAATATTAGTAATATATTATTAAAAGGATTCGCTAAAATACTATTCCAAACTATAATAGGGTCTATCCACAAATAGGTTCTTCACCGCCTTTTTGAAATGAACGTTGCTTAAATTTGCAGATCTCATTTCTAATGGTAAATGATTGAACAATTTACCACCATTATAGTATATGGAATCCTTGATCAAATTTGAAGTTGGGATGGGAAGTCTAAAGGTATAATTGCTATTGCGAGTAGCATAAGGAGTAGAAGCAAGGTTGAACTTTGATTTATGTTTATAAATAAGGCAAACTGTCTCCAAGATAAAAAGTGCGATGACTGTTAACATTTTATTGGCAGTGAACAAATTCCTGCACGATTCTCTGGGTTTAACTTTACAGAGACATCTTAGTGCCCTCTTCTGTAATATCAATACAGAAGAGAGGAGGGATGAGTTGCATGCTCCCCAAAAAGGTATTCCATAACGTAGTCGAGATTCAACAAGTGCATGGTAAACGGTCTTTGCGACATGGAAACCCAACTCATTTGAAACCACTCTAACTGCATAACATCCTGAGGAGATCTTACTCTTCAGTTGTTTAAGGTGCTCATCAAATTTCAGCCTATTATCAATGAATACACCGAGAAATTTTGTGTTTAATTTATTTTGTAATACGTCAGCGTCTATTGAAATGTCATCAAGCAAACATTTGAATGATATTATATTCGTTTTGGATGCATTTAGAGAAAGTAAATTTGCATCGCACCAGCTCTTCACCTTCTTCAAGTCGGATGATATTATTTTAATCAGCTCCATTGAGTTTTTTTCTTTCCACAATATTGTAGTATCATCCGCGAATAGAGTGAAACTACCAGATATGTTAATCATAGATATGTCATTCATATATAACAGAAACAGAATAGGGCCTAACACAGAACCCTGTGGTACACCAGATTCAATGGCCCTGTTCTCCGAGAGTTCCGTTGTCCTCACCATTTGACTCCGACCTGAAAGGTACGATTCGAACCAAGTGTTCGTTATACCTCTACATCCATATTTATGAAGTTTTTTTATTAAAATTTTATGATTAACGCAATCAAACGCCTTTGAAATATCGCAAAAAATTGCAGCGGCTACTTCACCAGCATTCAATTCAGAGTAAATTTCATATAAAAAAGGGAAGATAGCATCATTTGTCTCTTTTTCCTCTTGAAACCAAAACTGGTTTTTGCTTATAATACAGTGCTGTTTTAAGAATTCATCTAAACGTACTTTGACTAATTTCTCAATAATTTTTGATAAAGTCGGTATTAAGGAAATAGGACGCAGATTGGAGGGATTATCTAAATCACCACCTTTATGTAGTGGAATGACAACGGAAGTCTTCAACTGCCAGATTATACAAATCAAAAGATATTTCTTAGCTAACTGACAGTTCTGTTTTTATTATTTTTTTTTTAATATAGATTCACAAATAATATTACGTAAGTTCATATTTGTAAATGCCACTGTTTCTCACTATTCTGTAATTGGGTTCATACTGTAGAATAGCATATGAAATAAATAAATAAATGAATAATATGTAATGCCCATTAAAACATCCATAAAATATTATAAACATACATTGTTTGTTTTTTTTTAACAAAAAAAAATATTCTTTAGGTCAGTAAGTACCAACAAAGTATTTTTGTATTGCCAGATAACTTTAGATTTGTGACTTAACGTATGACATATATAAAAATGTCTTCAGATTTGTGTTATGAGCAAAGTACTTTAATAGTTTTTTTGCATTGTGAAAAAAGGTGGTTATAATTTCATCATAAGTACCAACCTTTATTACATAGCATAGAATTGTTTGAAGAATATCCTTCTTTAATATAGCACAGATCAAAATATACAACAGGTATATATTCCAAATGCACTGTATGTTTCGATTAACCTGTATAAATTGAATATTGTGCCAGAGAGTTCACATCAAAAATAAAGTATCTGGTAATTTTTTTCAGTTTTTCATTTTTTCTGTTTGGTTTTTGATAATCCCAATTTTTTTAGAAATTGCCTAACTTCCTCAAGAAGTTAAAGGGTCATAAATATAATATTATAAAAATTAACATGTCCATAAACAACTTACACTGTACCGAGGTGCGGCTTCCACTACCATTACAGTGAATTCTCTATCTTTAGCAGCTGACTTCAAAAATTTTTCCACAATGTTAGACTTCCCAACTGTTAAAATGATTTCGTCCATATGAATGTGTTCTGACGCTTGGGCTGCTATATTTTCAGCGCTACAATAAAAAGGTTAACAATCACTTCAATTTTAATAAACTCATAAGAACCTTGATTCTAACTCAATCCTATATTCGGTAAAGTGATCCAACAAACTAGTTTTTAAAGTAGTTACCGAATCTGAGTAGTCTGGTAAATCATCAGGATGTGCAGTAACTAACTGGTGGAGAGATTGGTCGTCACCTTTTTTCTGAAATAAAAATTAAATGGGTGATATCCAATCATTTCAGTGAATCCTGAAGTAGGTGACATCTGAATTCCATAAATCGATCGTAAAACCTCAATGATTTCTTTATAATATTGGATAGTGAATCCAAATGGTATTGTTTAATAAACTAGTGAAATAACAGTGTTTCAGAAAATACAGATATTCTCAAAAAATATTACAATGAAAAGTTAAACTCAGAATTGGTAAATCCATTGTATTGAAATATATAACTGATTTTAAAACAACTAGAATCAATTGTATATCGATCAGATAAGTACCTTTGCTGCAGACTCGTACTCTTCCCTTATAACTTTCAGAATATGCCTCATTATATTGGTAGCTGTGGATTTTTGAGGTAACTCGTCCCTGATGAGCTTAATTCTTGTCTTGACAAGAGTCATTAGTTCCCTTGAAAAATTAAAAACTTCATTTAAAGACAATAAAATATATTCCATTAACTGATACAAATAACTAGAAAATAAATATTTCGAAATAAAATCTTGAAATATTCATCTCTCTTGTGTTAGGAATCAGACGTTAAAAGGTAAGACCTCATTATTCCTTATCTCGCACAAGTTTCTCAACTTCTGAGAGTTGTCGTTTGTATGGGGGCGACAGCTGATTAACAGAAAAACAGATTTTAAACAGAAACTACCTATACCGTAGATTCTTGTAAATGCCTGTCGGAAAACAACTACTTTCCCGGCTAATACCACGTTGGATATTGAATTATATTCGACAGACATTTATGCAAGATACCTCACAGAGGTTACTTTCACAGATGTTTCTCGTTTATCCAGCAGCAGGACCATGCTGAAATTATTGGAGTACATCACCTTCAGACCTGTTTCGAGGTATTACCTCTCAACAGTGCAGGAAAGAGCCAACCCAAATTGTAAAGTGCCTGGGACTCGATTAACTTCAACACAGCTTAACTGCATGTATGGAACCTTCGTCTGAGAAAGATTGTTAACTAGTAACAGCTCCATCTCGTGAACAAAGCCGCATATTTATTTTCCAGTGCGTATGTATCTCTCCTCAAGACAGCCTTCAGACACGTTTTGATCTTTGTTAAAGTGGGAGATGTGATATGATGTTTCGTTCACGAGATGAAGCTGTTACTAGTTAACGATCTTTCTCTTAGATAAACGTTTGATACATGCAGTTGAGCCGCGATGGAATTAATCGAGTTTCAGGCACTTTGCTGTTGGGGTCGGATCGTTCCTGCATTGACGAAAGGTCCATAGGTGATCTACTCGAAAAATTCCAGCATGGTCCTGCTGGTGGATGAACAAGAAACATCTGCGAGAGTAACCTCTGTGAGGTATCTTGCATAAATGCCTGTTCGATATTATTCAATATCCAACGTGATATTAGCTGGGAAATAGTTTCTTTCTCGGCAGGCATTTACCAGAATCAACGGTGTAGGTAGTTGGAAGAGATAAATATTTCGAGATGTTATATCGAGTTTCCGGAACAAACGAAATTACTTCCAACTATTCTCAAAACGTATGTGGTGAAGTTTATTTCTATCAATATTGTCATGTTTCTATGACTCCTAAAAAGCAGGTAAGTTTTTGAAATATTTTGTTCCTATGGAAAGCAGCCTTGCGTTAGTGATGGATTCACAAGAGTAGCCAATTCACTTGAGATTTCATCAGTCTTTCAATAGTAAAGACGCGATCTTATCGATTTCAGCAGAGTATTTATTTTTAATACCCAAGGTGAAGTGCTTGATATTAGAGTCATTATTTTGACTGTTGAAAAGTAAATTTCAAACAGATTTGCAATTTCCTGTTTGTCAAAAATTTTCCCCTTTTACAAATTAGGGTTGGATTTTCCTTTTCAGGGCTTATTAGTATTATTTTATTTTTACCAAGTTCCACAGATTTTTGATTTGTTATAAGCATACAAAGTTATATGTATTCAACTTTGTTTGCTGGTGTGATATGAACTTATTTCAATTTAATATAGACAAATGTCATGAATTTACTTTTTCCCTAAACAAAAATCCTATAAATTGTCTATATAAAATCAAGCAATCAGAACCGGAAACAACAAATACAATCAAAGATTTAGGAATCACTCTTGATCCAAAAATTAAAATGTCATTCAAATCCCTTATTGTAACTGTCACTTCTAGAGCACTGAAAATGTCAGGTTTCACTCTTAGATCTGCAAAGGAAATAGGAAATATCGGTTTCTTCCTTGAAAATCATATATTGTTCAATTGTAACATCAATAATCGAATACAACTCCATATAATATGGATATTGATATGTGTTGAAAACAAGTTTTTAAGGTACTCTGCATATAAACTGGGATATCATATTGGTGAAAATAACTATAAATATAAATAACTGGTTCATAGAAGATTAGAATAAGATGTTACAATAATTCACAAAAAAATCAATGATAGCATTAATTTCCCGGATCTATTTGAACTTATAACTTTAAATGTGAAACCTAAGAGAACAAGAAATATAGAAATCTTCAAAGCACCAACTATAGCTTGCCAACACATACAATTAAGATTAAGAATGTTTCAATTATTCTTTGGAATCATTCAAAATACTTTGATTATCTAATTTTTGCTTTTTAAATATTTCTTCCTTATATCTAGCTGACAGTTATAGATCATTGTGACAGGAAATGTGTAAATTTGTTCATTATTTTGGAGAAAAATTTAGTGTGTTATTCTATAATTCTATTTTTTGTTTTGGAAAAGCTATTTCAAAATATCATTTGAAATGAGATAAGAAGTTACAACATGCGATTTCAACATCTTGTAATATTCTATCTTTTGTTTTAGTATGTTTTGAATTCATACATTGAGTTTGAATTTTCTTACCAGGTTAGTAATTTTTCATTTTATTTCGGTTTATTTTAATTTTATAGTAACAAACTTATGATTTGAGCTCAGTGATACGATATATCTACATCATAGATCCTATAGGATACTTGCTTACTATATAATAAAGCGGACTAGCAGTTAAGTGATTTCTCTAACTAGCTATACACGTTGCCATAACTTTGCTATAATTTAACCTACTTCATCTCTTATCGTTTACAATATCTTCATGCATAGACTCAAATTTAAATAACCTTGTCTATATATCTCCTATATCGAAGGAATTTAATGTTACCTATTTTCCTGGTTCAGAACTGATTTTTATTCAGAGGTCGACTTTTAACTGTGGTTTTTAGTATTTGCAGCTTACGATCACTGGTACTAATACTATATTCTTATTCATTCTGTTGTAATGGACGGAAAACATTTTTTTTAGTTTTCCCTTCAGCTTGAATGAAGCCCGTTTTGCAACTAAACACAGAAATACATTGCCGACGACAATCTGTCTGATTCCACCGTCTTTTTTTTAAAGAATATAATGAAGCATCAAATAAAATAGGACAAATTTCATCGCTCACAGTACCTGAGAGCAGAACATTACAAGGGGCTGTTAGCGATGATAAAATCTTCGATGCAGTAAAACCATCAATATAACTCAAGTCCTGCAGATGAGATAGCCTCAAAGAATCCAAACCTCCAGAAGAACTAGTACAAAAAGGACTTAATTGCTTGACGAACTTCATTTCTCAATCACTACTAAAGAACTAATTGAAATGAGTTGGAAATAAATTCGAGTTTTTGACTGAAGAAAGGTACTGGAGTACACGAAAGGTTTACATGTTAAAATTTGGAAGTTTGTCATCAGAACATATAATTTTCACAGCTCCTGAAAGATCTCCATTTGACACTTTATTGATCACCATCTTGATTAGGATAGACTCCGGATTTTTAGATTTCTTGATAAATTCAGTTTCAGTAGGTTCAAATGTTGTTTGATTCAAATTTTTTTTTATGATACTTGCTAGAAATATTTTGCGTTTGCTACTATCATATGGAATTTTGGTAAACTAAATAAAATAAGTTCCTCCCAGGATTAGATGGAACTGTATTTGATACATTCATTGATGGTATTCGAAAGGATCGAAGTAGACATCTGGCAGCCTTCGGTATCCTCTTAGAAATGATAGAACTACGTTTCAAAGCAGTCAGACTCTTGAGGGAGGGTATGCAACCTTTTTTTATTCTTTGACACATCGATGGTTTCAGGAACAGGAATTTTGGTACTATTTTTCTAATATGTATCTTCAAACCAAAATAATTCTTAAAAGATTTTCAACAGGAATCACAAAAAGATGTTTCCCACATTCATCAAATATTGAATTGATATTCTCTCATAAACAAATGATTGAATAACTCACTACACATATTACCAAACCAATATTGAATTTAGTTACTTTGCACTTCTCCATTGTCCTTGTGAAATCAATTTCTCCAATAACTCTTCTGTTTTCAAAGCAATATCAAGTGAGCTCAGAACTTTCCTGAAAATGATGGTTTATATTCATTAGAATATGGTAAATTCAAGGTAACTTTTTGATTAATAAAAAAATGAACTAACTTGTGTTTTATATCGCTAATAAGCAACATAACGTCGGATAAGTTGTCATTTTCTGGCATAATTCCTGTTTCCTCTTGCTTGTAGTGAATTAATACAATATGTACAATGTATCAAAGCTTCCTCTGATAGAAACTCAAAGCATCAAAATCAAAATAACTTCTGAACCTCTCTAACCTTCTTGGTTCTATAATTTTTTAGGTTAAACTTCTTTTTCAAAATAACCAGAGGTAACAGCTGCTTCGCAAGAGCATGAGCTAATACGCTTATACCACAGATTAAGTACTCTGTGCTAATACTACAAAGAGTAATAAATACCACAGTTCCGATATTCTGTGACAGAAGTCAGAAATATAAATTCATGTTAGCTGCACCACAGATTAAGTATCTGTGGCTGTACCACAATTGTTCTGTGGCTGTACTGTAATCTGTATTCGCGCTAGCTCTGCATTTGACATATTAAGAATCGGATCGTTACCATTACATTACTATGGTGTGGTTCCGTCGTTCCGTGGTGGTTGTGTGCCGATAACGTCCATCTACAAAGAAGGTATGCGGATGCGATAACCTATCACGTGACTTTTTCTTGTATTGTATTCGTTTCTTGTGAAAAGTAATTCAGTGTGTGGGAGTTTAAAAAAAAGTTAGGAGCCCCCTTTATTCATGCTGATATTCAGGATGGTTCAGATAACCACGTGAAGGGGGCCATGTTTGTGAAATGAAATACCCAAAGATCTCCCGAGGAGGAGGGACTCTATAAAAATGATTTTTTTGCAATGAAAAATAATATGGGAAAAAACTCAGGGTGGCTGCTCTGCCTCGAACAAGATCGCTTCGCCCCCCAACGAAGCTTCTGTCAGCTACTGGCGGGAGTTGACTGATTTCCGCATTCACAAGGTATCTGGCAAATGCAATTCTTGAAATCGCATATCCGGATCTTAAACAGGTTCTGATGTTATACTTGTACTCAATTCTTCTTATCCTTTTCGACAATCATCTGATGTAGGGAAGTACGAGTGTGACGGCTTTTCTTTCTTGTGAGGCTCTTGCAGCCTTCCAGCAAAAGTTTGTTCCACCATCACTTTGGAGTAACCATTCCGTTGAAGATAATTTTTGATGATGTCTAGTTACTTCTCGAGAGCTTTCTTGGTATTACAGAGTCCGAAAGCCCGATCCACTAGAGTATTGATGATTCCTCTTTTGGTAGATTGACGGTGGTACCGTGTGAGTGGGTTTTCTTTACACAGATGTTTCCCACTTAGTGTTGGTCTTCTCACCAATACGTCTAGGAATGACAATTCATTGTAGATTTCCTTCTCCATTGTGAAAGTGATGGAAGGTCTTACGTTGCTGATATGCTTCAGAAAGGTGTCTAGTTCTGTATTCTCATGGTTCATTACTACGCAGGTGTTGTCAACGTATAATAATCGCTGAAATCTGTCAAATCAACACCGCCGTGTAAAGCGTCGTCCAATCACTTTCCGAATCGGAAGGACGAAATCACGGCCTTGCAATATAGCGTCGTCCAATCGCTTTCCGACAGACACTCAATTCAGACACTCCAGCCCTAGCGCAATTCGAAACTTTCAAAAGAGAATTCCGACAGGCTAAGCAGGGAAGGCCACAAACACCCTTGGCTTTTGGTGAGTTGCGCCACCACTTACCCGAGCAACTGGTGCAAAACCGAACCGGCAGCCCAGGCGCACCCGGGAAGGAGAACACTATTCTCCCTCCGGTGCCGGCCGTGGGTCCACTGAGCTAACCACCCGGTGGACCCAACACTTGCGTTCCTAGCCATCGACTTACGCGGAGGGGTCAGAGGCAAGATGGTGGGGCCCGTAACGATGATTTGCCTTATGCATTGCTACGAGAGTAGTGAGCCCGCGCGAAGAGGGTACATGACGAGATTGCATGCTCTGTGATGTGAAACACATCCGGAGCATGCCGCCTTTTCCGCCCAAAATCTTAGGGATTACGTATCCTATCTTTGGAGGCCGGGCTATGTAACTCCTTCCCAGCCTGATATCGAAGTGGTAGAAGTGATAGTTCTACCACCCGTTGACACGGTTGGAGAGAAGACTCGCATCATGCCACCAGTGGAGTCAATCAAAACATGCAGGGCTCTCCACAGCTTCAGGCCCCTGAAGCCACAAGAACTGGCTTGTTTGGATGCGTAGATTCATAGTGTTCTAACAGAAGAGGCTGAAATCTGTCAAATCAACACCGCCGTGTATATCGTCGTCCAATCACTTTCCGAATCGGAAGGACGAATTCACGGCCTTGCAATTCGGAAGATTGAACGGCCTATACACTAGATGGAGGCTAAGATCACGTCGGCGAGACAACACGCGTCTCGTATCCAATGTGTGATGGATTACAGAGCGGCCATCAGGCCTTTTGCGCCCGCAGTGCGGCGAATAGCCGCCAATCTACGACGTATTCATCACCCTTTAAGTCAAGGCGTGCTGCTGACCACCAAACAGCACTGCCTTGATAGGATACGAATGCTAGTGGCTGCTTAGAAATCACTAGTGAGGTGAACGAAAAGTATCGCGGAAAATCTTAGGTCCGCGAGAAACCTTCTAGCTTATTCCAAGAGCCTCTACGTGTTATGGATAATCAGCTGATCAGGTGGAATCCTTCTGAAAGGATATCTATGAACACCCGCAGCCACTCAACTTAGACACTCCAGCCCTAGCGTTCTAAGAACTTTGCTGCTCCAGGCCCAGATGGGCTGAACACTTATTGGTGGAAAAAACTACCAAGCACCCACCGCCATCTGGCCATCTGGACGGAGAACAGCCGATTCCGTATTGGTTTGTCGAGGGGTTGGCCGTTCTCATCCCCAAAAGCGGATATTTGTCGATTCCTAAGATTTACAGACCGATAACATGCTTGAATTCGTGTTATAAGTTGTTTACAAGCATCTTATATACACAAGTACTCACCACAGTTGGACGAGTGTTCGAACGGATATATGAGCAGAGAGATTCGAAGAGAGGAGTCGCTGGATGTAAAGAGAACCTGCTCATCGATAGATGTGTAACGTAAAACTTAAGAATCGTTACAATATAAGCGTAACCTCTTTATGGCCTGGATCGATTACCGTAACGCATTTGATACAATATCGCATGAGCTCATCTTGCATTTGCTCAAATGCCTTGCGGTGCCCGACAAAATAGTGAGATGCATTGAACAACTGATACCACTTTGGCGAACTCGCTTCATCATGACATTTGGTCAAGCCAGAGTCACAAGGTCACCCATTAGTTTCATATGAATGATCTTAAACTTCATGCCTCTGGAGAGAAGGATCTACATCAGTCCTTGAGGATGGTGGAAGAGTACACGCATTCTATCGGTATGAAATTCGAGATAGACAAATGTGCAATGGCCCATCTCCAAAGATGACGATGCAGGGACTACGGAGAGGATGTGCAGCTCGTAGATGGAAGCATCCTACACCATTTGGATGCCGGAGAAACGTATACTTACCTCGGGGTGGAACAATGCCACTCACAAGAGGTAACAGTAGTGAAGAACTGTCTCCGCGGCAAGTATCAGCACAAACTTCGACAGATCTGGTCATCGGAACTGTCAGGGAACAACAAAGTTGCTGAAACAAATATGCTTGCCGTTCCAGTCTTACTCTACTCGTTTGGAGTAGTGAAGTGGACTTGGGAGGAGCTTTATCAACTCGACGTAAAAACCCGAAAAATTATGCATCTCTATAGGAGTTTACATCCCAAATCGCCCGTTCCACGGTTGTACTTCCCCCGACAACAGAGAGGCCGTGGACTTTTAAGTTTGGAGTGTCTACATGGTTCGGATCCCCTTCTCTGCATGATCCGTGACCATGAGAGAGCAGGAATTGGATCATTTCTCTTTGGGGCAGCTGCCCGAGCAGCTGATGAACCCGGTATAGTTTTCGACACTGAACGAGGTGACCACAACTCTGTCACCGAGTTGGAACCCATTCAGCAAAAAGCTCAGATAAAAGCCGCAGAGATCACCGCACTTCTGCGGAAACACAAGAATAAGCCAATGCATTGGGTCTTTTTCAATAATATTGGAGACCTTGACTTATCAAAGCGCCTGACGATCGCTTTTCTCAGCTTGAGTGGGCTGAAGTCGGAAATAGAGGGGTTAATCATGGCTTGCCAGGACCTTAGTCCACTGCAGTCCCGTGATGGGTATAGAGGTTCCAGACACAAGATGTAGGGCCTGCCGCAAGGCGCTCGAGACCCTAACGCACTTGCTATCAGCATGTTAGGCATATGCGGTCTCGGCCTATATCAACCGACATAACGCGGCCCTACCATCTCGATAAAATATCGAGATTTTCTCTTCGAAGTCTGCAAACTCTATACAGACCACTCTGTCAAGATGGTTGTTGTGACTATTGGAGTCCTTGATGGAATGATGCTCTCTCTACTCGAATCTTAAGATCATACCGGCATGCCGCTCTAAGGCAGATATCTTAGCCGGACAGATGCAGAAGGCTGTCATTCTTGGCTCACTGCGCTTGTTCAGGGCACAGGATTCTCGGACCCAATAATCTGGCACAAGTTTCGACTTTTGAGAGTTGTCGTTCGTAGGGGTGCGACAGCTGGTTAAAAAAAAATTGTACTTCATGGACGAGACATGGGTTAACCAAGAACATACGGTCAAAAAAGTATGGCAGGATGGTAATATAACAAGTTCACGACAAGCCTTCATTGAAGGTTTGTCAGTTGGGTTAAAACAGCCATCTGGAAAAGGTAGTCGTCTGATAGTTACGCATATAGGAAGCGACAGTGGATTTTTACCAAATGGTGAATTAATATTTATACGTACTTCTACTCTCAATCATATTGATTTTAGTATATATACAAAATTATTACTCTGAGGCATAAACCGACACTTTTCTTAGGTATAGTTGTAGTTCCGATGTTCTGTGGTAGTCCTTAAGGTGCGTATACATCTCTGAACGCGAACGAAGACTACGAAAACGAGGTGAAGTTTTGATGAAGGCGTGCAATCTAAGCGAGGCAAACAGCAATAAGCTATGCGAATAACGTTCGGTGAACGACGTGAATAAACCATGCGTGTGAAGAATCTATCCTTAAACAATTTGGTCATTCATTAACGTCTTCTTTTTCGCTTTTTAGTCAAACTATCATGAGAACACTCCATACTTTTTCTTTAATGCAATTGACAAGTTCTATCTCATCTCTATCTGCATCAACGATTTGGCTATCCTTTTTAGCATTATACTATACTTGTGATTTGACAGGTCTGCATCCCATACATTTTATCAGGTTATGTGATTTGTCAAATGATGAAAATATGAAAATATATTTGAATTTCAAAAATATTGGGATACTAAGGAGGCAGTTATCGTCATGGCAGATTAAAAGTCGACAATTGAAGGTGGACTTTATTTGCAACCCCCAAAATGCCTCAGTAATACAAGAAAACATCAATAAGCGAAAAGGCATTGGTAACATTACATTGGTAAATGATCTGAAACAAAAACTGAATCAGTTCGATAGTAATTCAAGTAACTATGAGGCGCTACAAAAAGAATTTCAAATGGAATTATCTAGAATACCCAATGAAACACATCCTGATATAATTGACTATGGAGATGAAGCTAAGCTTTTGAAGTTTGTCAATGAAAAAAAAAATTTCAAAATCCCTCCAAAAGAATTTAATGAAATAGCGAAAAGGTTGAACCTGGTAAGGACAGAGCAGTTAGGAAACCTTTGTGGCAGTAGGGCTTACTATGTTCTAGGTGAACTGGCCGAATTAGAGCAGTCTCTGTTGAATTATTTCACTAAAAAGTTACTCCAAAATGGTTTCGAACTCCTATCTGTTCCAGATATTTTACCTCGAGAAATTATTGAAAGTTGCGGAATGAATACCAGAGGGGAAAGGAATCAGGTGTGTTTTGTGTGTCAATACTTTTGTTCATAACTACAGTTCAATTTTCTTATCATTACTTATTTTTTGTCTACTGACAGTGAATCTGATGTGGAAATTAAAAAAATGAAAATCTCATGGTCATTAAAATTTACATTTTTATAGTTCACTTTGATATAATTTCTGCATTATAATTTCATTATTTGTTACCAATAATATGACATATTTTTAATAAAAATGTGCACAATTTTCAAAGCAATGTTTCAGATTTGTCTTTCAAAGTTAACAGAACATATCGACAGCTGAGGATGTCTATTGATGATAGGTAAATTTCACTTTGAAAGTTTGGAGTTCAGAAGATGTTTAGCATCTATTTCTTTTAGAGCAATTGATTCGTTGCAGGATTGTGCGAAAATTCAAATGGACCTTAAATCTTTTTCTGATTGGTGTAAGATGAATTATATGGATGTCAATGTGGCAAAATGTAAAAATATTTCCTTTTCAAAGTCACTAAACCTTTATACAGCTGGTTATAGTATTGCAGGGAAGAAGTTGGAATGTGTACAATCTATACGAGATCTGGGTGTTATGATGGATGACAAGATGGACTTTCATTTACAATATGAACACATATCTAACAAAGTGATGAAAATGTTAGGATTCATATGCAGATCAACAAAAGATTTTACCAACATTTTTTTTATTAAAATATTATACTTTACATTGGTTAGATCAGTGATTGAGTATTGCACTTGTATCTGGTCTCCAACATACTTCAATCACAGTTATGATATTTAGAAAGTTCAGAATAAATTTCCTAGATATGTTGCCTACAAAATGAACATGCCAGCTAGAAGTCATTCGCTCTTTGAAATTCGGTCTACTATTGGATTGCTCAAACTCAGTACAAGACGGGCACATGCAGACATAACATTCCTACATAAATTGTTGAACAATGAAATCAATTGCCCAACTCTTCTCTGTCAAGTCAATCTGCATGTTCCCCCGAGAAGGACACGTAACAACCAAACTTTCAGTCTCGACTTTCAAAGGTGTAATTATGGAAAACATTCTCCTTTGTCCAGAATTCTATCGAATGCTAATGGGACCAATATTGATTTTTTTCATATCTCTCAGAGCACTCTTAGATATACTCTGCGTGGTTTAGATTTATAAAATTATTTTTTTTCATCACAGTTTATTTTAATTTTGTCTATGTAGGTTGATTTATTAGATATGTAGATACTAGATTAGTTAACTTTCCAAGGTAAATATATTGTATGAAAATTGGGGGTTACCCGTTGAATAAATAAATATCAATCAATCAATCAATAAATAAATAAACTCCCAATTGGCAGTACAATTCATTCTATAGCACGTTATCAAATTTCTCTCTACTCATTTTCAACTCCCATTACTCGACTGTTAAAACAATCATCTCTAACTTATTTGACTTCACCCTTAAGTTGTTATTATTTTCTCTGTTTTTTCCTCATCTCCATTCAAAACGTAACATAAATTGCACTTGACATTACATATATTGCTAGCCTAGAAAGAATAAATATTTTTTTATATGTTCCAACCCTAAGCCCACTTGAAACCGTGCTTTCTTAATACATAAGTGTCTGAAATAGCGGATGTAATTCTATTCCTGTGTGAAGCTTGGTCAGCTAACTCGAGTCATAATTTGAATCTATTCCAGGTATACATACTTGATCCAAAATTACATGGACCAGATTTGTGTTTATCAGGGACATCAGAAATGGCTCTTGCCGGCTATCTTTCGGGAGAGATAATACCAGTGGAAAACTTACCAAAGAAATTGGCTGCAGTCAGTAGGTGTTACAGAGCTGAAACATCTAGTATAGCTGAGGAAAGAGGAATATATAGGTGAGATGAAATTCAAGTTTATAGATTTATAAGAAATATTCTCGGACATAAAAACATCTCGTCGATGAGGGGTAGTTCATAAATTCGTATGTGATTGTCATTCATTTGGTGGTGGTGCAGGCGGATCTCCCGAATCTTTCAGTGCATCGGATGAGGGGCCTAACAAGCAAGTTCTTTGGAAAAATTCGTAATAATTGTTCAGTTTTATACTGTAAAAATGAGGTTTTCAGATAACCAGCTAAAGAATAACAATGGTTTACCTATTGAAATGTGATTTATAGCATGTTATTCATACAATTGTAACTAACTCAATATGTATATTATACATTTCCTGTCATTGGGAGTGTTATATATTTTGTAAACTAATAGCTATCAACCAAACATGAATGTTTGGTTAATGGTCGTAATAGTAGTATATGATATAGGAAAATTAAGAACAAGCGTTCATTTATTTTATCATTTAACATATTGCATTGCTACTTTTTCTTGTTCACAAAACGTTTTATTTGGAAAATCATCAACTCAATTTTTTATAGGGTTCGGAAAAAATTACAGTCTGTATTGAATAGTCTTTTTATTTTGTATTGATTGTATTAAATTGTATTAAAACTACATCAATTTGGAAAAAGTTTACTTTAATTGAATTTAGTCTCTGGATGTAAACTAGTATGCACCGTGGGAAGTAGCTGTGGCAGTCATTTACCAAATCATATTATGTTGGAAATCTGCGAGAGACTGATTCTAAATTATCAAAAAAATTATTTTCATTTCTTCAGGAGCACTTGAAAATATTGTTATGTTTTTCCCCTGGGTTTACCAATAATTGACTACACTCTACAATGAGCAAACTTAACTTCATTCCACTGTTAATACAACTAATCAATTATTACACTTCAACGATTATTCAAATGTCTATCGCCTTATTAGATCGCTCTATACCGCACTATCCGCTAAACTTGACTTGACTCCTGGATAGCAAGGTCATCTTCATTTTCATCAGGTTTGTAATTTATTTCCCTTACCCTTTCAACTGAGGTTCGTCAGGAGGACGAATAGTTCATAACTGGAGGTGTTGGGTGGCGACATAAAGGTAAATGACCTCTATGCCGCTCTGGCCTTGTGTACACCTTCCTGACTGGGGTATTTGATGAACAAACTGTTCATTTCAACAGACGTCGTGGGGCCTTCACTCAACAGACGTCGTGGGGCCTTCACTCAACCGAGCGACGGGGCCTTCTGTATCGAGTGGGCTCGTCTATAGTGTAATCTAGAGCTTCCCTAACTAATGGGTTACCATGAGTTTCCGCTAACTCGAAAACTCTCTGATTCCTCGTCTGAATGGACTGCAGCTTCAAATCTCTGTGGATGGCTTCATTCTGCACGAACCATGGAGCATTTACCAGCATCTTGATAAGTTTGTTTTGTATTCTTTCCAGAATGGAAAGATTTGACGGGGCGGTTCGTCCCCTAATATAGTAAAACCTTATTTCTAAGGTTGAGCTTTGAATGTCTGTTGACCAGAGGATAGAGTTTAGCTATCCTCGACTGAATCTTGCTTTTGATGTAATCAATGTGATTTGCCCAGGTGAGTCGGCGATCTATCCAAAGACCTAGGTGTTTGATTCGCTGGTGCCATTCGATCTACCTGCCTGAGATCAAGATCCTTGTGTCTGGAGAAACATTACGTCTCCCCAAATCTATCACCTGAGTTTTATCTGGGTTTACCCGAATCTTCCAGTCAAGGTACCCGCGTTCGAGGTCATCCAATGCACGTTGCATGTAGACGACCGCCAACGCCCGACCCATGGAAGAAGCGAGGAGAGCCGTATCATCGGCGTAAAGAGAAACCTTCACGTGATCGAACCTCGGAAGGTCGCTCACGTAAAGGCTTTACAGTAGTGGAGACAGTACAGCTCCTTGAGGCACTTCAGCTTGGATTTCCCTGACAGGAGACAGGGTTCCTTCAACTCGGACCTGAAATGTTCTGCCTTTCAGAAAGGACCTAGTCCACTGTACCAGTCCTCCAAGGCAGATTGAAATCGAGCATTTTGTGTAGCAGGCCTTCGTGCCAGACTCGGTCGAAGGCCTTTGAAATATCCAGGAGGACGAGATGGACTCTCTTTCTGTTGTTCAGCTCTGATATGAAATTTTCGACTAGTCTCAGGTCTTGCAGCTCGGTGGAGTGTGCCCTCCTGAAGCTGAATTGTTCATTCGGTCTTCAGCTTCTTCTGTTAGCTTTTGTCACACAACACATTCTGCCAACTTAGCCGTTGAGCAAAGCAGACTAATCGGACGATGATTCTGGGGAAACAGCGGGTTCTGACCCTGTTTCGGAATCATGACAACTACGGCATGCTTCCATCTTCGAGGGAAGTATCTGAGGGCGATTGAGCTGTTGATTATGTCCAACAGATATCTGATAAAGTTCTCGGGGAGCTGCGTCAACAACCTATTGTTGATTGAATTCACTACCGGAGCCTCCTTGGGTTTGGAGGCCCTAATATACCCCCTCAGTTCTTTCTCCGAAGCTGGACGGATCACGTCGTCGTCATTTTCCCCAAGGATGCGCCGAACCCGATGTTCCAACCGGCTATCACGGTCAATGTCATCATCCGGATCAACGTTAAGTTGAAACTGACTCTCCATTGTGTCTGCAAAGGCCAAAGCCTTCTCGGCAGGAGAGTAGCAGATACCGCGCTGTCTGTGAAGAGGAGAGGGAGCAGTTTTCCTCTTCTCGAGCCTGCGGATGACTCGCCAGAGCTCGTCATCCCCAGGTTCGAGCGATTCCAAACATTCGCTCCACCTTTCGTTTCTATAGTCAGTGATGGCCTGTTAACTTGGTTGGCCATCCTGCTAGTCGCAACCTTGTCTCCAGGATAGAGAGTCCGCTGATAAACTCGTCTGAGTCGGTTTCTCTCCCGGATAAGGTTCTTTATCCAGAGAGTAAACTCATTATAGATTCGCAGAGGACACTCTGTCCTGGTTGTGGCTGCGCGAAAAGCGTTGTTCACAGACAATTCGAAATCCGCCATCGCCGCCTCGAGACCGTTGCGAGTTTGAACCGCCTCACGGTCTGTACGTGTCTCCACTAGATGATCCTTGAAGGCTTCCCAATCCGTGGATGATCTTATGTGATATTCCTGGGGAGGGGGATTATCACCCAGCATCAGGATGACTGGATTATGATCTGAGTCCAGTTCCGACAAAGTGTACACTTCGCAGGACATGGAGACGTTCCTGAGCAGTGCGATATCAAGCACGTCAGGAGTATTTTCCCCACGATAGAACGTGGGATTACTCGGACCCATCACTCGATACTCATGCCTGTCAGCATGCGCATGGAGCGCTCGGCCGTTCCCATTGGTGACTCTGCTCCACAGATTGTGCTTGGCGTTGTAGTCACCAGCAGCAATTGTGGGGGTATTTGTCGACATCAGCAGTTGTTCCAGTGATTCTGGAAGTAGACGATTCTGCGGAGGATTGTAAACGGAGATTAGTCTATGACGACCTCTTTTAAGTTGGAGCTCGACGCCCACGGCTTCCGTGCCGTGTAACTGATCCGAGTCAATGCCGAATTGGAAAGGTAAATCTTCCAGAAGTCTTCGCTTTTTGTTTGCCGGTTCGTTCGGCTTTGTCATAGCTTTGCTTTTAATTTCTGGCTGCGCAGAGAGTGGAGCCTACGGGGGTATATTTGGAGGAAACTTCTCTTGAAGAACGTTCAAGAAGCTCTCTAACCCCTGGTGGAGGGCCAGGAGGCTCCCAATCGCCGATCCGGGATTGCCTCTCAGCAGCTCTGATGGGCTCAGGCCCAGACGGTCAAGTAAAAGGCCTATGAAGCCAATCACTTCACTCCTGTCCCTGGCCATCAGGCCGTCAAGCAGTTTCTCCATACCGCTGTCGGAAAAACTCACACCCTTGGATTTCCCAAGGGTAGACGATGATATTATGAACAGTCTCGTGAAAGTGAGAAATTTGAACGCACTCACTAGAAGTCTGGTGGTTGCACACACACACTAGAACGGGAGATTTATCTTCTGGCAAATGGCTGATCATCCATCAGAAATAATGGTCTTTGTGTAAAAACTTTGAAAATTAACGTAGCGAAAAATATTCTGGTTGTCACTTTGACAGCTAACATCACTCATTTTCACTCACTCCTGGATATGCACTGAGCGCGATCCTGGCCACGTCACATTTAATTTACGACGGTTAGCGGCGTACGGCGTTATTTTTTTTAAGGGATGATTTACAAAAATATTGAAAAACAACGTACCAAAATTTCAAATGTATGAGATAGTGATGTCATACACAATCATTTCACTTATTTATTATTGCGAAAATTGAACTAAAATTTATTAAAAATATTGACGTTTACATCTTCTAAAGTAGTTCTGACTTTGTATTTGTGATCAAGTGACAACAACAAATGAAAAGAGAATACCTGTTAAAGAAACTATAAGACTTATATTCATGTAAAAATGTAATGACCACTTTTTTTTAAGAGTACACGAATTCACTAAAGTAGAAATGTTTATGGTTACAACTCCGGAATCCTCAGATGCTGCCTTGGAAGAAATCAGAAATTTGGAAGAAGAAAACTTCAAGGAACTAGGATTGCATTTTCAGGTCCTTGATATGCCACCATATGAATTAGGAGCACAGGCCTATCGAAAGTATGATATGGAAGCATGGATGCCTGGCAGGAAAATGTATGGAGAAATTTCTAGTTGCAGTAATTGTACAGATTATCAGTCGAGGAGGTAAGGTAGAACTGCCTTCAGATTTTTTTGATATATTCACAACTAACTCTTAACTCCCTTGTGGTGATTCTATGAATGACTTTCATAAGGAGGTTCATTTATGATATAACAGTACATGTTGATTCATTCATTGTTTGAAAACATATTCATATGGACTTTATTACTTTTAATATTTTATGTAGCTTTTAAGTTAGAATTTCACACAATGTGTGAGTGTTTCATTTATCGGGTCTTGAGTCTTTCAACCCTTTTAATTGCTCAAATATTGCTCAATTAATTGCTTAATTGCTCAAATATTGAAAGAAAATACTCATTTCGTGCTTGTTTTTTTCAAAAATTTTCAATGATACGATATTATTTCGCGTGTCTTTCGATTAAAGGTAAAAAAGGTCATGGATTTGTTGATAAAAGGGAAAATATTCGGTGAAGTGAGATGCTATATGTATTCGACGGAATGGCAAAAGCGAGGTCTTCCGCATATTCATATACGTTTATGGCTTCAACATCGCATCACTCCGGATCAAAATGACAATATTATTTGTGCTGAAACACCTAACCCCGATCGTGATCCTGAGCCTTACGAAATTGTTAAAAGTAATATGGTACATGGCCCCTGTGGAAGTTTAAACCGAAATTATTCATGCATGAAAGATAATTCGTGCAGCAAACGTTATCCTAAGGCTCTTATTAAGGAAACTCAAACCGGTGATGATGGTTATCCGCAGTACAGGAGACGTTCTCTGGATGACGGTGGATTCTCTTTCAATATCAAGGGTGTTACAATAGATAATCGTTGGATGGTTGTTTACAATCCAGTGCTATTAAGAACATGTAACGCTCACGTGAACGTATATTATTGCCATTCAGTGAAGTTAATCAAATACGTTTGCAAATATGTTAATAAAGGGTCAGATCAGGCTACGTTTACTTTAGAGAACGGGAAGGATGAAGTTACAACCTACGCAAGTGGTCGATATATAAGTTCAGCTGAAGCATTTTGGCGAATCCTTGAATTCCCAATATATGAGCGTTTTCGTCCTGTAGTGCACCTTGCTGTCTATTTAGAAAATGGAAAGAGAATTCATTTTAAGGAGCAGAACTTGTGCGACAAATTGAGTAGTCCTCCTACAACTACACTCCTCTCCTTTTTCGATCTGTGTAACGTGGATAACTTTGCAAAAACATTGCTATACTCGAAAGTCCCCGCGTATTACGTTTGGAACAAGCGATCCTTTCAGAGAAGGAATAGAGGAGTGAATGTTGAAGGATGGTCAGGGGTTAAAAAAGAACACGTTCTAGGTAGGGTTTATACGGTTCATACAAACAATACAGAATGCTACCACCTTCGAATGCTTCTACATGAGATCTGAGGCCCAATTTCATTTGAAGCGTTGAAAACTGTAGATGGTCCCACTTTCCCATCCGCCTGCAAGGCTCTAGGTATACTCGAAGATGATCGGCATTTGGATTCTGCTCTTGAAGAGGCAGCACTTTGTCAAACACCGCATATGATGGCAAGGTGACTTGAATGTAGAGCACTCATCGGACCTGATATTTAACACAAGCCTGTCGGTATGAGAGGATGCCGTATTATCATTGGGCGGCCGTCCTCTTAAAGAGTATGGATTACCTCAGTCAATAACATCAATACATTTTGATAATAGAGAGTACGTGAAGGAGACCAGTTACGATACAGTGGCCTTAGAAGACGCAGTAAGAAAAAATGAAGCATCCTTAAATGACGAGCAACAGGAAGTTTACAATAAAATTATCACAAGTGTAGATGCAAATGACTGTCGAATATTTTTCTTAGACGCTCCAGGTGGAACTGGTAAAACCTTATTAAACCTTATTAATTTACTTTTGGCGAAAGTAAGAAGTACTCACGGCATTGCCCTGGCTGTGGCGTCGTCGTATACATGACAAGCCTATTGAATGGTTATTTGAGTGCGCCATACTTACTCCAAAGAACGATCAAGTAGCAGCTATCAACGATATCTTGATCATGTCGTTTGAGGGCGAAGAAAAGGTCTATACGATTGATACTGTGGTTAATACAGATGACGCTGCTAATTACCCTGTGGAATTTTTTAAATTCATTGAAACCGCCAGGTTTGCCTTGTCATAAGTTAGTGGAAGCCACTATATTAACTGGGTGTGCGGAAGGGGAAACTGTATTTATACCACGAATTTCATCAATACCTAATGATATCTCGTTCAAATTCAAACGATTACAGTTTTCCCTAAAAGTTTGCTTTGCCATGACAATAAACAAGTCTCAGGGGCAAACTCTCAAATTTGCAGGTATTGACTTGAGAAAACATTGCTTCTTTCATGGACAGTTTTATGTTGCTTGCTCACGAGTAAGTTCACCCAATAGCTTGATAGTTTTAGTGCCTAATGACAGATTGGTTAAGAATATGTACAAAGAAGTTTTGTAGGCCCTAATTTTGTACACACGCTAAACAAAAGTAAAACCGCAAAAACTATACCTAATTAATAATAATACTTCTTAACGCGAGCGAAGCCGCGGGCAAAAGCTAGTCCTTGATAAAGTTCAAAGAGTTTCCATTAATGTCACACATGTTACATATTAAATTAAAATTATTATTGTTATTACATTTACTCTGTGCTACATACAGTTTTGGTACGTTCATTTTTATATTTATAGTCTAAATACCCCGTCTGTTTGAAATTATTTAAAATTCTGCTTACTATGGAATAGCGTATATATGGAATATTGCAAATTTTTTTGATATTTATTTTGTAGTTCAGGTCATAACTGAAAAGAAAATCATGAAACCATTTTTGGATTTATCAGTGAGGTTGCAAAAAACTACGCTCTGTTGAAAAAATCATACTTTCATCTCCATGTTTATTTTTATTAAGGCTGTCAAAGATGAATTTTTTCCATTTTACTCTTACTGTAAGAGATTTTCACCTGAAACTATTCCATTGTTTTTGATTCTGTTGGTTGAAGGTGAAAGGGGCTAACACACAAAAGATATATTTACTTCCTTAATTATATTAACACCCTATACATATATAACTTACATTTAGAATAATTTAATTTATAAACAGTGAAAGGTAAAATTTAATATAAACCTCACTTAATGGGAAAATAGACATAATTTCATGGTATATTTACATATATGTACACATTTAACATTAATTATTTCGTAACTACACTGAATGCCTAAGTTTAAACATCAAGCCGTATATATGCCATTCCCTAATTGATTGAGAATTTGAGTTGAAACTCTAATTGAAATGAGTTTTGCTCTCATGAAAAGTTTCGAAATATATTTTTAAACAACAAAACATTTTTAGCTTTTAAATCATATCCATTTTTATCAAATACTCAAACGATTGGCGAATGGAATGTTCAGGCTTCAATTAAACATTTTTCTGAATGAGTGCTTTCACAAATGAGGGTAATAAAAATGGTGGTTTATAAACTGTGCATATTTTCTCATATAAGTACTAGACAAACCGACTTTGTAATGACCAAATTCCAAGTAATTCTTATTGAACGAAAAATAATTGAAGAGGAATCCTTTGTCGATTTTGCTCTGTTAGTCATTTCAATTTGTCTAGCAAAGAAAAGAGATAAGTTTATCAAGTCTTGATAAGTGGATTCACAGCCGGAATACTATACAACGAGAGACGCTGATAGTAGGCTGCTTGACTAGAAAACCTGGTCAGACTTAACCTGTATTTGTCGTACAGCCATTTATACCTATATCGCTTATCAATGTGTAACCCTCATTCTGAAAATATCTCAAAAAAGAGCAATTACGAAAACATGATTGAGCATTTTTGGCACTGTTTTGAAATTATCACTTTCTTTCTACTTTAATAAGCATCAGTCGAATACAGCGTTTTTCTGTCTTAATTTTCAACTGAAAACAAAATATCATAGTGCACGACACTGTATATTTTCAAGTTAGAATATCGATTCTACCTGAAAATTAGTTTCATTGTAAAGGTTTTTTTTCATAATGCAATTTTGTGATATCTTGAAATAAAAATATAGGTTGTACTAACCTCATATTACCTAAAACATCTCAAATCATTATTTGAGAATGCTTTGCTGCCTGAGGTTTTTGTCCCAAACTTTATATTGGTCTCAACATGCTACTAAGACAACATAACAGTCAAATTATTATTTACTTTCATAAATTTGAAAATTATAGTATGTCATTTATATTGTAGGTTTTCTGGTTGAGTATATCAAAACAGTTGTTGAATAATCTGGTGTAACTTTCCATGATGCACAAAGAAAGTAAAGACAGTATCTATTGCTCGTATCGTCAACGTTGATCCAACATCAGGTACCAATCTCACCTATATTCAATTCAACATTATGAAAGTCGTCCACATTATTCACTTTCATTTTTTTATTGAGCAAACATCAATTCGACTTTATGTTCAAAAACTCGTAAAAGATGACTCCTCCTTATTAACTTTCCTCTCCTCTCTCAAACAATGGGAATCTTGTCAAACCTATTAAACTCTGTAACATTTGGAATAGCTATCAAATAAACGTCAAACGAAACTCCTAGTGTTTAGGTGACAGCCTTTCTGTGCAAGGTAGTTGGTTTGCTTTATATGAGTAACATGGATGAGAAATGATATTGAGCTTCTTGTTCTCCGATTTGTTTATGAAAACTTTAAATATTTTAATTTTTCAAAGATGAGATTTTTCATATGAAATTTTTTGACTTATTCAAAATAAAGAAACTCTATTTTTGGTTGGTTCTTCTAGAACTTGCCCACTTTTTCAACTTCTGTTTGAGGTTGTTCTACAACGTATCTGTAGAGGTTTCTACTTTTTTGGTTCAAGATCTGAACTGAATTGACCGATTTTCTCTTAAAAGCAATCTCCACAGCTATGATTTATAATCAATACCGCCCCAAAGTTGCAGTTATCATTGACACCTAAGATGCTTCACTTTTTTTATTATGGTAGAGCAGGGGGCAGGCGGACGTAAAAAATTGAGCAACACCTATTGACTACTTTTGGGGGTTAATGAAGATTGTAACATTGTAAATCATCTGTGACTCCTAACAAATAGTATTTTACGTTTGGATATCATAAGAAATATTACGCATATACAATTAATGCCTCAGAATCTTAAATACATCCAGTGATTATAATAAGTGAAAAAAAGTTGAAGCTAGAACTCCTGCACAAAACATTTTTTTCGATTGACTTTATATCAATAAATTTGAGTTGCAGTTGTACGTTAAACGCGTCACAATTCACGGTTGAGACAACAGAAGATTACACATGCATCATCAATAAAATATGCAATGAAATACATACTTTTCTATAGAAACATTTTCTTCTACAAAGGAAAAACGAAAACAATACACTTGATGTTTGCGTTAAATCGCGTTTGAATGATAGTACATCAACGAGAGATAGCAAGACAAACGCGAGTCGCAATTTATTAGATATTGAGATCGATTGATGACTTATTTCTATCGTTTGACAGTTTAATGTTTTTATCTGAGAGGTTTCTATGGTTTCAATACTTTTATGTTATTCAAATAGTTGTCTCCATAACTAATACACCGAGGGCATTTCATATTTAAGAGTAAGTAATTTTTATGTTGTAATTTTCGCAATTCCATATTGTTATTTTGGATGACAATTGAAAAGTTGATGTTAACAGCCTCCATCCGTTAAGATTTTTTAACGGCCGGCGTCCGTTTCAAAATTATATTCTTTTTGATATCGCTCTCGAGCGAGCAGTCAATGATTCGTTGCACATGATTCTCCCAATATTTCTAAAGAAATTTGATTTTGTCTCTCAATTTCTTCAATTTTATCTATGGTCGTTATTAAAGCGAACTCGCGAATACAAAAAACTGACGTTGTTTATAATATTGTTGTGATATTGTTGAGCTGTTCCGTGATAACAAGATGTTGGGATTTTTCTGTAGAATTACGAGGTACGTGGTTTGTTCTTTCCTCGGAATAAAGCTGTAATCTTTCAGAGGGATTACGAAAAGTCTTGAACGACACACGGCCGATATGCAAATAACGGATTCGTTGTTATAATCCTCGGCTGCCCCTCGGATTACAATATTCAACCTCATCTGTCATTTTCTACATATCGACTTTGTAACGTTAATAACTATAACCTCAGATTGGGAATGCCAGTCTAATGTTCTACAACTGGAAAATGAAATATAGTATTTACAGAGAAATCAATAAAAGTCCTTACAAATTTTATGAAATTGAACGAAATCGTAAAGTGGGGTTAGTTGTCAGTGAATTTCAAAACTGAAACTAATCCTTTATTAAGAGTAAGGTTATACAGAGCAGTAGCAGATTTATTCACAAATTGATACTGCATGTGTAACATCTTTCACTGCTCCGACTATACATTCTTATCGCAAAGTGTTCTGTTCTCCCATTTTCCAATAAAAGTGTACTATCGTAATATGGCATATATTTTATTTATTATTAATTTCGAAAACATTCATTTCAATATCGAGTCCCATGTTCTCTCTGTCAATAGAAATGGTCGCTGTTTCTAAAATAATTGAAACTGTTGCTTCCAAGAAGTATTTCTTACTAGCAGTGGCAGACTGAGAATAAATAAATTCTGTTCAATTCATAATTACTCAATTAAGTCAAGACTTTCGTACAGGAGTTCTAGTAAAGTTATGTTCAAGTTATGTTCAAGTTATGTTCGATAAATATTTTTGAGTCTGAAACGACGAAAAACTATCAATCCAGTTATTCTTACATTTTGGCAGCCACTAAATACTAAAACCCTGTGATATTTTTAGAAGTTTGTATCGTAATCAGATCTTCGCCTTCCGTTGTAACCGCCGTGACTACTTCCAGGATTATTACCATAGTAGGCGTTGTAGTAGTAACCGTTCCATTCGGATCTCCAACTGTCGTAAAGGTTTGACATACTGTTGTCGTGAAGGGAACCATTGGATCTCTGTAAAACAAAAATTATTATTCAAAAACCTTACCGGGGTACTAAACTGAAAATTGTAAAAGGAACTGAGTTTCATCAAACGAAATGCTGTCATAACGATTACGAGTTGCACGTTACTTAATTTTTTTGAAAAACTGAGGAAACATGCTTTGAGCCAAGAGTATCTAATTTTTAGAAACCGCAGTAAGCGTCATCGGAGATTGATATACTTGGGTGGTTCCGCCAATGATGATTAGGAAGTAGATTACGGATCAAATAATGTTTATCCAAAGCAAAGACAAAACTGTTTTGTCGGATAGATCTAGAGGATACAAGTTAACTTGAGGTTTTTGTCCCAAACTTTATATTGGTCAAACGAAGAGAACTTTCTCCTGAAGAATAACAGAATATAATTTTTTTAATTAGACATTTGCGACATTTGCAAACCATCCTTTACTAGGGGCGCATGAGTTCAATAATTATTACATTTTGAAAAAAAAATCAAACTTAATCTTTTGGAGAGCTTAGAAATCAGTTGTCTCAAAAATTTGGAGCAAATGCTCGATGAACAAATAGAAATGGAAAAGTTTTCATTTGCCTAATTTGTTTTCTAATTATAAAAGTGGTAGTTAGTAAATATTTCAATTAAGGTTATTTTGAGGACCATTTGATGAATAGGTAGTAAAAGTCAGGTAAAAGTTTGGGGGAGAAACATATGGGAGACTTGCCTTTTTTGGTGGTTTTTGTTCATATTCCCGGTCATTCCAGGCGTCGTCCATGTTATAAAGATCATCTGCTCCATAATTATCTAAACCTCCCATGTGATTTTTATTCAGTTCATTGAGCATATCTTCAGTGAGCGGTGTGGGATTCTTCTTTTTCGAGTTCTTCTGACGGTTAACCAACTGAAAAGAAGAACAAATGAATTTTATTAATACCAATAGTAATCGAATTGGACCTATGAACCATGATTCTTCATTTCTGTGTGACAATCAATATGAAAAAATGAGTTATACATGGTAATTAGACATATTATCCTTACCACTGTTACTCCAAAGATGATGACGAACAGAAGGGAAGCTAGACCAATTACTATCACAGCTATTGCCCATTGCGGCAAAAGAACGTCGTTTTCGGCAAATCCAACGGTAGGGTAAGACGTTTTCGGTAACACTGTAAAACATTCAAATGAAAGAAAAACAATTATTCTATGACTGTTGGAAAAAAATTATATGACTGCTGTTGAAACCAATCACAGTCGGCAAAATTTATTATGATGAAGTTTTATTTTAATTATTTACATTTTCAAATATGTCCAGAAGGGCCCATAGATTATGCAGTTTGTTGTACTACCGACCTTATAATAGATTGTACTGTAAATCGTATAGACAGATCATAGAACATTTTGCACACATACGTGCAAAGATTCCAAGCAATCGGTAATACAAATAGTTAAGTGTACCTACAGTGTGTAAAAGCCAAATGGAATAATAGTTATTTATGTATCAAGGGAATTAGGAGGGCCTTAATTACCGATGGCAAAGTTTGCGTCCCGAGGGCCTCTGGCCCGAGGGACAGCTTGAGAAACTTGTTCGATCTAAGGACTAACGAGGTCTTACCTTTCAACGTGTGATTCCTAGCATGGTTGCAGAATCATCCCAGCTTCAACCAGATAAATTCTCTCGAGAAAAATATCTGGTCGAAGCGGGAATGGAACCCACGACCTTCCGATCGTGAGTCGGGCGCAATACCACCGCGGCCAATTCCACAACACATATATCGATAGTAAACATATTAAAAGAGAATAAAATGCATCCCTATAAAATGATACCTACTCAGGAGCTCATGGAAACAGATTTTGATAGAAGAACTCATTTTTGTGAGCAAATGATGGACATGTTGGATAACAATATCATCCAATTAGAAGATGTTATGTTTTCTGATGAATGTACTTTGTCTCTTAACGGTCATGCTAATCGGCAAAATTGCCGATTAGCATTAGGTCAACAGAAAATCCTCACTGGATGAGAGAAGAACACACACAATACCCTTGAAAAGTTAATGTTTGGGCAGGGATTGTCGGTCCCTTTTTCATTGAGGGCAACTTGAATTGCGATAATTATTTGGCACTACTTCATGTAGTGCCAAATAATTCATGTTGTTGGCTGAAGAAGATGGAGAAGACATGAATGCAGATGTCGACACTGTTATAGTTCCACTATTCTATACGCGAAATTCGTGTAGACCGGAGTCGTGAGAATGATTTCCATTTTTTTATTCGTAGGTTCCTGAAAATGCATTTGGTAACGTCCAATAACTACAAACCAGAGACAGTTGACTGACGATATCTGGATAAGAAACATGATTGCTTCAGTTTTCGTTTACTATGATTTTCAGTACAAGAGTTTACAAAACCATGACACGTGCTATACAGAAGCTTCCCACAGCAAGACTAGAAAGTGTTGCATAGCGAGACACGTTTCGCGGTTTTAAAAACCTATCGTAGTGAAAATCACAATTAGTAAGTCTTTATATGGATTTTCATGAAGTTTCTAGATCAATTCAAATTTTTTTATTTTTATTTTAGTTTCAGCAGTCAATGGGATCTCTGATTCTTTCAAACTATGTTCTTTTCCAATCAGAGTCCGCAGTATTGAGGAAAAAATCGAGAATATATCACACAAATATATT